GGTCTGTAGCTTAAGGTAAAGCGCACCCTGTGAATACTGACCATTGATTGATTGATCGGTCTGCCTGGCCTCTTTTTGGGGACTGGTGGGCTGGTTGGTTGGTTGGTTTGAGGTTTGGGTGAGATGCTCGGTCGTGTGGGCTGGACCTTAGCATGCAAAAGGGAGTTTCAAGGTGATGAAGAATTTTTATAGAGTCAAGCACAGATAACACTTATTGTTGATGTTGATACTTTATATTGTCGATCTGATTGAAACTCCTAGATTAATGCTTTTATATATTTTTATATTTCTTGTATTTAGATTATTTAGATTCCAATGGATTTTTCTTAAACAATACTTAGCAGCGGTTTGGAGTTTTTTATAAGCACATATCAAACCTTATTTAACCCTTATACAGACCATAGGTTTATAAGGACCTCTTTGGTATATAAGCTCTTTTTTAAGGCTTACTTAATACTTAAAAGACGCTTAAATCACACTTATTATAGTGAGTAAGGCTCTTATAATCCTATGGTGTACTAAGGTTTATATGAGGGTTTATAAAAATACCCGCTCGGGCGGTAAAGTATATTTAAGTGTGACTTATGAGTCTGATAAGTCTTCCAGTTGCGTTCATGAATTCAGTGAATCCCTTTACCATTAGGCTGCTGTATTAGAATGATTGAGACGTTTTTATTTGATATCACGATTTCCTAACCAATGGGCACCCCATCCACAACTAAATATCTACAACTTCTCTCCCCTCCCCCGCCTCCGATCCATCCACAACCACCACCTCCACCACCGGCACCTCCACAACCTGATCCGTCCCCTCATACGGTGGCACAGCCACCCCCCACCTCCTCGCCAACTCTTCCCCCACAAACCTCCCCCCAATAAAATGCCTCCCCCGAAACCCCCTCACCACCCCCTTCGGCGCCGTCAAACTCACCAACACATCCGGCCTCAGCTCCCCCTCCCCCTCATCAACCCCCCACCCACTCGGCACATCCACGCTCGTCACCCCCACCTCCGCCTCACTCATTGCCTTAATCGTATCGTCGAACGGCGCACGTATCCCGCCGGAGGGGTCGAACGAGAAGCCGAAGAGGGCGTCGACGACGTGGTCCGTGTCTTTGAGCGCTGCGCGGAAGTCGGTGGTGAACGGGATGTGGAGGGAGTGGAGCTGCGTGGTGAGGCGGGTGAAGTGCTCGCCTTTGGAGGGCTTGGGGTAGTAGACGGTGGGCTTGTAGGAGAAGAGGTGGAGGTGGCGGGCGGCGACGAGGCCGTCGCCGCCGTTGTTGCCGGGGCCGCAGGCGATGAGGAGGCGGGGGTGGGTGCTGGGGGGGTGCGTTTTGTAGACTGGGTTTGGGTTAGTTGTAGAGCTAATAATTGTAGGATCCGACTGATAGGTGTAGAAAGGGCTTATTTACTGGCTTGGGCAACGGCGAGGCTACGAGGTGTTAGCTATGGGATGATATATTCTATAGAGGTGAGTGTTCTTACCCTGCGAGCTCCATAAGCTGGTCGAGCGAGAAGCCGCCAGTCGACATGAGCTCTTTATCAAGTGCAGCAGCACGCTTTGCGGTCAGTGTCTACTGATGTTAGCCATATCCCTGTCTATGTATTGAATCGAGGCAGGGGAAATACCCTGAGAGCCATTGTAGATGTAGATTTTCGAATTGAGAGTTATGCTAATGTCGTGATGCTTTTCTGTAGTGTTGAGGTTTGGTGACATCATTCCTGGCCAGATATTTATAGTGCTGTGTAACTCTGGCTCTGGTGTTGGTTGTGGGCATGCCAATTGTCCACGATGTACCCACTAGGGTATTTAGTTTTTCTCTTTAAACATATCACTACGGCTGTTGCCTCCAGTTATTAAAATCGCGACTCCAACAGCACTGTAATATTGGATTGGACAGAGGTCAATGATCAAGTTGTCTCTGATCTAATCTTATCTGATGTTGGTGTTGTTGGGCGGCATCATGCAGCTAGCTGATGAGATGAGAGGAGCCGTGTGCTCAGACATTGAGGACAGACACGACTAAAGAGAGACAAAACAGCCCAGAGAGCAAACAGAGAGCAAGCCAACAGTTGGCACTCCCGCAAACCTCTCCCCGTGCGATCCCTCACCACCTCTGCCCAGACCGCCCCCAATATCAATATTATCCCTCTAAGCGCCACAGCTCACCCCCTCAGCCACACACACACACACACACCCCTAACCCCGCCCTCTACCTGGCCTCCCCCCAGCCACTCCACCTGTCCCATCCATCCATCATCCATCGATCGGACACAACCACCGCCAGCCAGACCATCTTCTGTTCCCGTACCGTACGTCAACAACGCTCCATCAAGGGCCCGCCGCGAAACAACCCGCTCCTTGATGCGCCATACTCCCGCGAACCACCCCTCAACTCCCAATCCAACCTCCCGGAACCACCCGCCAACCTAACAACGAAATGGCTAATTCTACTACTACTTCTTCTCCTTCGGCCGCATGTACCTCTCTCTTCCTCCTCTCTTCCTCCTACTATTCGTCATAATTGCTCCTACTCCTACTCCTACTCCTACTCCTCCTCCTCCTCCTCCTCATCCTCATCCTCATACTCCTCCTACCGTTGTACTGCGACGACGCTGACGAAAGATAGTGTCCGATGAGATCAAGTTAAAGGTGGGAGAATATTACCGCCGTGTGTATCTAGGGGGAGGGAGGACAAGTGTCGTCACTGCTGCTGGGGCTTGGGCTGACGAAAGTAGTTTGTCCCGGTTATTGATGAGATCTTGAGGGCGTCGGATTTGGCGACAGTGTCGGTCAAGCAGGCCCGGAATGCGCTGCAGGCAAGGCTGGGATACGATATAACCCCGCAGAAGGTGAGTAACTGATTGCAGAATATCTACTATCTGCTACTACATATATGCCACGGATAAGGAATATAACATATACATCTATGCATATTGTTATTGGTTTCTTTCTTTCTTCCTTCTATCTCTATTGCGCGCGCGCCGCGATTCTTCCACCCTCCTCGATTTCTTATTATGTCTCTTTATCCTCTGCACAGACGCTGCCCCCTTACCTCATGCCCGTGATGAACAAGGGACTGACCCCCCCATCAGAAAGCCATTGACATCGCAATCGCCAAACGCTTCGACGCCGTCCTCGCCGAACAAAACGCCGTCCTCGCCGAACAAGAAGCCGGCAGCCGCACCCCCTCCTCCTCTTCCGACGCAGCCCCGACTCCCACCTCCTCATCCGACGCGATCGCGCACAGCGTCAAAGCCGAAGACGACGCCCCCGTCCGCCCGCCCAAGCCCAAGAAGCTCAAAACCTCTGTCGACGAGGACGCCCGGCTCGCCGCGGAGCTCCACGCGCAATGGAACAGCGGGCGCCCCAGCCGCGCGACCAAGAAGGGCGCGGCGGGCGGCACGGCCGCTGCAAAGAAGAGGGGCAAGAAGAGTGAGGAGCTGGTGCACTCGGATGGGGAAGAAGAGGGCGGCGATGCCGCGGGAAAGACAAAGAAGAGGAAGAGGAAGGTCAACCCAAACAGCCCGTTCAATATGCCCATGGTGCTGTCGGAGCCTCTGGCGGGCTTTTTGGGGGAGTCGCAGGTAAGGGACTTTATGCGCGCGCTGGCGGTTGATCCTGTGGTTGGGGGTGCTGATGTGTGTGTTGTCTGTGTAGTTGTCGCGCCCCGAGACGGTTAAGAGGATATGGCAGTACGTGAGGGAGCGCGGATTACAAGACCCCGACGACCGCCGCTACATCCTATGTGACGACTCGATGAAGCCCATATTCGGCGACAAGATCCACATGTTGTACGTTTCCCCCTCTCGCCCTTTCGCTCCTTGTACCACTCTTTCTCTGCTTTTGAATTGTCTAGCTGACTTGGCACCTGCGTTGCGCGTAGCACGATGAACAAAGTTCTATCGCAATACATGTCCAAGCCCGGCGAAAAGTTCTAACCCCCCGCCCCGCTCCGCCCTGTTAATTTGATCCCCGTGTTTTTTTTTATTTTCGACTTTTTTCTTTTTTCTTTTTTTTTATTATCTGTGTGTTATTAGGGCGCTCCAATGCTTTTTCCTTTGTTTCCCTTTTTTTTTTTTCCTCATTACTCTATTTCCGGTCGTGGCCTTCGGTAGGAAGAAGAAGGCAGGGATTGAAGGGGACAATTTCAAATTTGTGGACTACTTGTAGTTTTGTTTTTCGTTGCTACATTTGGTGTTGGTGTTGGTGTTGGTGCCCTGGGGTATCTCGGGGTGGTGGATGGGTGGTGGTGGAGGAGGAGGAGGAGGAGGAGGAGGTAAATTGTGTCTAGTGCGTTTAAATTTGTGTGTGCCGGTGTGTCGGTCGGTACGATGGTTGAGCAGATCAGTCTCTGTAGTACGTGTGTGTCTCTCTCTCTGTGTGTGTGTGATTGTGCGTTAGTCGAAATGGAATGGAATGGAGTGAAACTTGGAACCTGGGGCTTGGACTTGGAATATGTGGAGCGGAGTTGATGTTTTGGTGGTCGGGTTGGTTACGGTCATTCATGGAGGTGCGTGCGGTGAGGCGGATATGTGCACGAGTGATAGTATGTGATCACTAGCGTTTGGTACTTAGCACTGCCGTGTCTTGGCAAATAATTCTAATGTCACAGCTGCTGCTTCATCTTGTTCCAGGCTAACCTCTCAACTAACTGGAGCCTCGTACGGTCTGGACTGCTTGGAAGGAGGAGGGCCTTTGTGTTCAGCGCTACTTTCTGGGTTCGTATATTTCCCCAGCATTCTATAAAAACTGAATACATAACATGCATGAACCTCAAAGCCCAACCTGCGGGATGGAAGTAAAACATAAGCAACAAGGAATGGGAACAACCTCATCTGATACGATAAGAAGAGCTGGATGGAAATATAAGTAAGAAAATAGTATGACAGTCAAGATAACTACGCGGATATAGATTCGAATTGCCGAAGACTGTGCTCTTTCAACAACATGCAAGTCTACAACAGTACCCCGCCCCTCCGCTATGTTTCGGCCCTCGTCATAAGTCTGCCGCTATCCTCTTCTTGGTCGATTCTATAAACTTTTTACTCTGCGTGGTGGCCTGTTCTGTACCCAAAGAACTATCGGCGCCCTTCTCGAGCAGTAACTTTACCACTATCTCGTCCCCGGCGATGGCTGCTGCTTGGAGGGCGGTTCCTCTTAACCCACCTTGCGCATTGATATTTGCTCCTTTATCGATTAGGGCTTTTACTACCATCTCGTGCCCGTAGGCGGCCGCGGCCTGTAGGGCACTGCCGAATGTGCCCCCTTCGGCATTGACATCGGCGCCTTTCTCCAGGAGTTTCTTTACCATCGTCTCATTCCCGTTAATTGCTGCTGCTTGAAGGGCGCTACCACCGAATCCACCCGTGATATTTACATCGGCGCCTTTCTCTAAGAGCATGTCTACCAGGGACTCGTTTCTGCTGAAGACTGCCGCTTGCAGTGGGGCGCCAAACTCTCCGCCTGAGGAATTGATCTCGGCTCCCCGCTCAAGGAGGGTCTTTACTATCGTCTCGTTCCCACTAAATGCTGCTGCTTGAAGGGCGCTTCTATAACGACCACCTTGGGCGTTGACATCGGCGCCTCTCTCGAGGAGAAAATCTACCAATGTCTCGTTTCCGCCCCAGGCCGCTGCTTGTAGAGCATTCCCATAATCTCCACCCTGGAAATTAACCTTGGCGCCTTTCTCAAGGAGGATATTCGCCACCGTCTTGTTTCCATTATAGGCCGCTGCTTGCAGGGCATTGCCATACTCTCCGCTTCGAGTATTGACCTCCGCGCCCTTCTCTAGAAGTGTCTTCAAAATCATTTCATGCCCGACGAATGCTGCTGCCTGCAGAGCGTTGCCTCTTAGTCCACCCTGAGCATTTATGTTTGCACCTTTCTTGAGGAGGATATTGACTAATGCATTATTACCGCTGTAAGACGCGGCTTGGAGAGCGCTCCCAAAGTTTCCACCGTGAGCATTGACCTCGGCGCCTCTGTCTAGTAGAAGCATTACCACCCCCTCTTTTCCACTCAAGCTTGCTGCTTGGAGAGCGTTACCCCTCAATCCACCCTGGACGTTGATCTCGGCACCTCTATCGAGGAGAGTTCTCACCACTATATCGCTCCCGTGGTTGGCCGCAGCCTGTAAGGCATTGCCGTAATGCCCACCCTGGGCATTAACCTCGGCACCTCTTTCCAGGAGGATGTTGACAATAGTTTCATCCCCGTTGTAGGCTGCTGCTTGGAGAGCATTGCCATAGAAACCGCCTTGGGCGTTGACCTCAGCGCCTTTCTCTATGAGGGTCTTTACCACCATCTCGTCTCCATCAAAAGCTGCTGCCTGAAGAGAGTTGCCATAGTACCCGCCCTGGATGTTGACCTCTGCGCCTTTCTCAAGTAGGGCCTTCACCGCGCCCATGTTCCCGTTGTAGGATGCTGCTTGTAGCGCGGTTTCATGGAATCCACCTCGGGCATCGGGCTCGGCGCCTCTTTCCAGCAGAAGCTTTACTACTGCCTCATCATCGATTTCGCAAGCACAATACAATGGCTGTATCTCGTTGGGGTTTTGTGAATTTGCGGAGAGACCCATACCCAAGAGCATCTCAATGGAATCCAAAGAGCCACTAAGTGCAGCTTGATGCATTAAAGATGTATATTCCTCCATGGAAACGTTCATTTTATTAAACTTCTCATAGACTTTGAGGAGTCCTAACCACAAACAGAGTGTAAACCCATCGATTCTATCACGGCCGGCTAGGTCATGTAAAAGGCCTAGTTTAAGTCTAGTGCTTTTGGCGGTGCGTATTTTATAGACAAACGCAATAATTGACTGGGTCGAGAGGAAGCGTTTGAAACTATGAACGAGAAATTCAGGCCACTCGACAACCTTACGAATGTGGTAGTCCCAATAGTGAACTGCGTATTGGAGAAGTTTATCTTCCCGAAACCAGTTCGGATGAGGAGATATGGCATTTTTCCAAGTAAATGGCCTGAAGAGTTGTTGGAACTCATCGAGGAGTAAGTATTGAAGACAAGCTTGAGCTAGCTCAGCATGTGCGTTATGCCCGAGAACTCTGTAGCTTTGCAGGGCTTCGCTACGTACTTCTTCAATACAAGCTGTGGGTAAAGTAAGATATTGAATAGTGTGGTGAACTGGCCTTACGACGCCGCCTTCGATTGTAATAAGATTGGCACAGGATTCAAGGATGGTATACCCACCATAACGATACGGTACCGTCTGAGTTTTGCTTTTTATTGATTCCTCAATGGTAATCACATGGACTAACTCGAGGCTTAAGGGCCTTGCTGCAAAAAGTACCCACGTCAAAGCTCGCTTTGCCAGCTTACTTAGGGCTGGAATCTCCGCCTCGATCTTCTTGAAACAACAATCATAGGTTGGACCCATATCGGAAGGGAGTGAACACAAGGCACTTTCGATGTCTTTGAGTGACGGCTGACTGTATAGGTACATCAACTGGAAATTGACCCATAGAAACCTATTAAATGTTAGAGATTGATTTCAGATATTATTTATGAGAGCTAACTAATCTTCCACATGATCTAGATACCAAGGAAGCCTTGATTCTTTCCTTAATCTTCTGATCGATCACACCGTGGACGTAGCCTTCACTTCGGCGGTCTACCTCCGAAGCAACGAAATCCGCAATATCAAGATCAGGCCTTATTCTTTCGATGTTAATTTTAACTACTGGACAAATGAGTGCCTGAAATGATTCTTCAATAGACTTCTCCCTCGTGCTGGTGACAAAAACCTTGATATTAAGACCTAGATTCAGGCAAAGGCTTTTAATAAGTGGGATGAATGGATCTTGATCTTGATCTTGGAATTCGTCGAGAGCATCTATAACAATAATAACTTTGTCGAAAGTTTTGGAGACCTCGACAAGTTGAGCCTGAAGCTTTGCATTACTTGGTAATCCATCTTCCGAAGAATATCGACCATGAAATTTCTTTAATGGAGCAGGCAAAATCTTCTTCCGTTGAATAAGTTGCTTAATAAGTGTCGCAAGAATCGTTTTGGAACTTTGTCCGGCACTGTTTTGGTGTTTGTAGTAAAAAAATGCCAGACCGATGCGGTCGTCTAGAGAATATTTGACGGAAAGCTTCTCTACAACCAGTGACCTAATATTCTTATTAGTAAGAAGTCGCATAGAACGGCCAGTAAGAGTGTAGAGCTAACGCTAGAACAGATTTCCCTATACCATCTACTTTTATTATTAGTCATTCTGAACACGACATTCCGTTGAGGGAGGTACTAACGATTCCCGAAGCACCACAAAATACAAGATCCTTGGTTTTCAAGCCAATTTTTGAAAGAATCTGATTCAACAAGCCAATCCCCAGTGTTTCCGTGCCTCTTTGAATATAATATATCGTGGTCATTTTCAAATTCCAGCTTCGATAACCAGTGCTGCAACTTCTCTTTCTTCTTCTCTAAAAACACATCTTAGAAAATAGTTTCTTTAGAGCTTTGGGTAACAACCTTCATTCTTTTGGGCTTCCAGTGTTTTCCTCAGATGTAACCTCTCAGGATCAATAATGCAGTCTGCTGGAGTAACAATCTCGAGATTTTCCAGGAATCGATGATTTATACAATCAAATATTGCCTCGAATGGTTCCCATTTGGTCCTAAGAAACACTCTGAACGATGTACAGCCTTGAAAAGATTAGCTGAAAAGGAGTACATCGTAGATAAATTATTGTTTACTGTATGGATTTCCATCATTGTCTGTAAAGACACCCCGAACACCCCTACAAAATTCAAGTAGGTCACCGTAAACGTGAGACAAGATCTTTTCATGGAGTTAGCTAAAATTACATTTTATATTATTTTTGTAATACTAGCCTTTTGAACTTCTGGAGAATCGGTAACCTCTAAGATGTGTTTAGATAAATAATCTAAATGTCCACCTAAAATTTTGAGCATATTGGTAACTTTTATAAAAACGGCCGTGAACCTCAACCCGAGCTGTAAATGTAATTCAGTTGGGGAAAGAAGCCTAAAACGACATTTAAGGTGAAAGAGATAAAAGTTATGTACGTACATCGATGGCCAGGCTTATCCCTCCCATAATAAGCGATTTTATCTGAGGTTCCTGGCGAAGAATCAAAGACGACAAATGTTCGAGGTACCCACATAAAGAAGTCATAAACCCTTCGATCTTTTCCGTACAACAGACACTAGCCTGCTGGTGGGCTTCATCGCATGCTCGGACTTGACGCATGAGTAAATCCATTGACATGTTGTTTGCATCATTGAATGCTCGATGCTCTTTCGTAGAAAGTTGTTCAATATAATAATCTAAGGCTAGCTGGAAAGTAGGGTTCGGGACGACTCTAAGAGGTACCCTATATATATAATATTAGTTTGGGAATCTAATGGACTAGATCTAATAATTTTCACAGGAAGTATATACATTCTTGTGATTTTGGAACAGGTCGATAATGATTTCCGTTGGGAACTTGTATCTGATGATAAATAGTAGACTGTGGTATATGGGATTAGTATATGACTTTCATCGCGATATATATATGAAACCAAGTTATAAATACCTTTCTTTTGGTGATGTCCGGAGTCGAGGTCTTTGGATGGCCGCTCGCACGGGAAGATAATGAAGATGTTGTCCTACTTATACGTGCCCCTTTTTTCCAAAAATTTTCTCTGAGATTCAATTTGAACTAAGATTGATATGTAGCTATCGAGAGAGAGAAGGGTCATTACTTATCGAAGGTTAGGCCGCGGCCGGAAGAGATCATGTGCGCAGCGCAGGGTCGGGCAATATGATGTGCGTAGAATTCCAGTAGTATGAAGATGCACACATCGGAAATCCGGCCTCATCGGAATAATTAAACGGAAAGGTAAAGTACCGGCGTTTGAATTGACCACTTGACCACTTGCATGAACTGCCTACGAAGATCTCCCAGTGGCCATGCATGGGTATGGATAGCTAATTAATGATAACAGATTCTATGGCCTTTGGCTATCATATGCTAAAAAGGGGCAGTATCGATACGTATTTTGAGTCATATATATACGTCATGTGTAGATGATGAGTTCAATGGTCGATATCCGATGGGTCACGTTGTGATCGACAGTACCTACATGTGAGAAACGGCAACCCCGGTACCAACATAAGGATATGCAGCCAAGAACACAGCTAAACCCGGATATGGAATGTTGGACGTCTTCTGATTATCCTTTTTTCTGCCAGGATGTAGAGTACTCATGCGCTAGAAGCATGATAGTAGAGAGTAGAGCACCGTATCGTTAGTAACAAGTACATGTACCTATCTGTATAGTTAACAGAAAGAGAAGGAAAAAAGCTTAGATTATTCTGGATATCTATTTATAATATGCTCTATATAGTAGATTTTACGGCCTTTAGAATAGTGGCTTTCTGTCTTTGATATTTTGAACTTCAGTTAAGCTCATGGACAGATTGAGAAAAGAAAGGCAGAGAGGACTTCAAGTATATAGCACTAAAGGATTATCCATCCTATCACTGGCATTGAGAGAGCAACAAAATCACATCGAATCAAAATAACCCTATATATACTCGCGCGTTAATTAAAAGGTCGGAAGTCTTTGCAACCAAATCCCCACACAAAATTCCGACCTTTTAATTAACGCGCGAGTATACATTGAAGGAAATAGTTCACAGTTGAATACCATGTAAAGCATCGAGCATCAAGGAACCCGGGAGTGCGTAAATGGTGTTAGAACACGAAAGATCCTTGGACGAAAAGCTCACGGTTTTGGGACAATACCAATCTCAAGGTCCTAGAGAAAGGGGTTTAATAATCATTAATAAGCTTTGAACAGCCCATACAGCCCTGCGAGGCCTCGAGGAGGAGTATACATCTCCTCGAAAACTCCAAGGGAATCTAGATAACCGAGCGAATGCCGCATGCTTGCAAGGAAAACAGGAAATCAAAGTAAGCTTTCGCCCAAGGCACAGCGTACTAAGCTACACCCTGAGCGGATAGTCTCCTTTCTGGCGAGATCGCTCTCACCCAATAGGGGATTGACCTCAACCTGTAAACTGTTAGTTGTATTCCACTCCTTGAGGTTATGCAATCCCGGGATTCCTACCAAATCCATTGCAACAAGACAACCAGTCTCATGGATACTTTCGCAGATAAAATCGCCTTCTCTCAGTGTCAGGCCACCACGGACGGGTGTCCCTGTACTCGGGGCGCTATATGAAATGAGCATTTTGATTCAGATATAGGGTTTGTGAGGTCTAAATAAACTCACAAGACAGGATCCAAAGCATCAACATCGAAACTCAGGTGTATCGGCATTCCTTCCTGCCCTGGACCACAGTTCAGATAATCCAGTGCCATGTCCATAACCTTACCAATACCGTACTTATCAACATCATGCATACTGAATGCACGAATACCATTCTCATGCAGGATGACTTTCTCGCCCGGATCAACATCCCTCAAACCAATGTATACGAGTCTTGAAATATTGATCATATGATGCTTCTTTATCCATCCAAAGACGTCAGGGTTTTCCCTCGGAGGTTTTGCAAGGCCTGAAATAAACGCAACAGGCATTCCGTGGATATTTCCTGACCCCGAAGTCTCGGGCGTATTGATATCAGTGTGAGCATCAACCCAGACTACAGCAATTTCCCTTCCGTCATGGCGCTCACGAATAGCCTTTGCGGTGCCTGCAATAGATCCAACAGCGATGGAATGGTCCCCTCCAAGGGTGAGTACGAGGCGGCCCTTCGAAGCATGTTCATAAACCTGGGCAGAAATGGCACGTGTCACATTGGATACCGTGAGGGAATTGAGCATAGGTACACGGGCATTGGAGATCGTGAGAGGAGGGTCTGAAGCAGGAAAATGCCCCGCAAAGTCATGGACTTGGTTATCGTGGTGTACAACAAACTCGAGGTCATTGCGCAATGAATCGAGGAGGCCAGATTTGATGAGAGCTAGAGGTGCTGCTTCAACACCAGGTTTGGGCTTCAAACGTTAGTACTCTGGGACATCAATAAGACTCAAAGAGAAGGTTTAAAGCTAAAAAATTACCTGACCGCCAGAGAAGCCTACAGCAACGACCCCGAGTTGATTTTCCGAAGGAAGGAATCTAGAATGCGTAGTGCTTGGGGCTGCCATTACTTAAAATATGATAATTACCTAAGCTCTCTGAAATGGGGTAAGAGATGGATTTCGAGGTTAATTAGACGTTGAAGGTGGGTTGGAATGTTTTTTTAAGTGTAGGGTGAATTAAGCTAGCGTGACGGAAACATAGAATTGGCCAGTGATGGTGTATATTTCGGGATGGATGGAGACGGCGCGCGGAGACTTGCGGAGGCCTCAATTGCAACCCAACCTTCTGAGGGAAGAAATTCAAGTTGCCCATTAATCGCCTGTTTCTTAAGCTTAAGCTTTCATATCCAATTCTCTTATCAGAGTTAAGATTGAGGGTGCTAATGACGTCTAATATAAGGGATCAACATAGCTCAGGTGCAGGCTCGAGTCTATGTAATTCTGGATTTACCGTCACTAACCGGGTAACCCTATCGGAAGAAATATAATAATCGTCACGCGTATTCAGAAACTTCAGATAGTTTGCTTCATCTAAATCGCTCTCTCTTCTCCAAAACCTTGGCGCATTATTCTCGTGATGTAATAAGTTGCGAAATAGTAGATTCCGAATTCCTGGGAAGCACATACGCATAATCCCTGTCGCCAAGCGCCCCTGGCGAAAGCAACCGCGGCTATCCCTTCGTCTGTTCCCAAACGGCGTCGTGATAAACCCAAATCTAACGACGATTGTTTAAAGCGCTACTCGATTGAGGATTTTTACGTGACGAGTGGAGACAATTCTGCACCGCTGACAGCCGCTTCCAGCTAGTCTGTGGATTTTGTGTGGTGAGCCACAGATTGCCACAAGTCCTGAAAACAGACGAAAGGATGGACATGGCAGCAATGGTGAGGCTCCTTCGACTCTTAGTTCTCTACTCCCGTTAAAGGGGCTACATGTGCGTTAACCCAACGGTTTGAGGTCAGGTCTAGGGAATTTCAGTATCTACTATCGACGCGTTCGTGCGTCTCCCTGTTCAACCTTCATTGAATATCACTCGATCCATTTGAAAGCACGAGAGTCCATTCAAGCAGAAGAATGTCAGGGCCAGATGGAAATTAATATGCTCTAACTTGGTTAATCCCAGTACCCCTTCTACCTAGTAAACGCTAAATAGTATACAGCAGTGTCAGCGCTCACGCTGACGGAATTAAAGGCCTTTTCCGTCCATCTCGCCGTTCTTCTTTTGAGCTTTATAAAATGATTATACACCATTGTCAAAACCCAGGCCTCAACCCTCTGGTTAATACGGGCATTTTCTGGCCAAGGGCCACCAACGAGAATGCTTTCGCATCGCGCATACTTAGGGTCGTACGGGACCGTTCCATTGAGGTTGAATTTGGCAAGATACTCTGTACCTTTGAGCATGAGGTCGTCCTGAAGTCCATAAAGGTCGCTGCCTTGATTGAGCACAGTCTGACTAGCGATTGCAAGGTTACCAATACCTCCCCATGCATGGCCTATAGTTTAAATGTCAGTAATAATCCGCCTCTACTGAAGATCGATGTAGCATGACCTACCTTGATCACGACCACTCTCCGAGTTCTGTCCAGTGCTGGGGTTGACTGTGCCAACAAGTCCACCACATACACCGTTCTGGTACTCGTTTAGGGCATAATTATACATCACCACATCCTCAAGATATACAGCAATACCGAGTAACGCCAAAATGCTCGCCATTCCATAATTAGCCTGCCCGGGCGCCGTCACCGCTGGTGCAAGGGCGCGATAAACCATACCAGAGAAGCCTGATGTCCCCTGCCATTTCATCCCCGTTTCAACCCAGCCATACTCATGACGGAGGATCTCGGCCGCGTTCACCATCCTCATACCGCCCTCCGCAACGCCCAGATTTGCATCCAAGCCATCATATATCTTGAGGGTGGTACCCCAAAGATTAAGGATCTCGGCAGACTTATTCGCATGTCGCTCGTCACGGGTAATGTACCACATAAGGGCATTATGGTACGCAGCAGTCGCATCCCGCTCAAACCCGCTGTTTGTGGTTCCTTGCGTGATGCTATTTCGGGACACGTTTTGTCGGGGCGTGGTCATGACATAGTTATAGCTCGCGGAGGTCAGATTGGAGAAGATTGTGAAGTAGGATTTCCATGGCTCGGTGTTGGAAACTACCTTCTCACGCATGCGCTCGAGGTCGTCATGGGAGTGGAGGATCCCCGGGTGCTGGAAATCGTAGTTGTTGGTCTTTGTGAATTTCACAGCGGCGGCTCCGGAGGCGGTGATTGGGATGAGAGGTCCGATTTGTGCTGTTGAAAGACCGGCAAGGGCCGCCGCTAAGATTACCGATAGCGCTGAGATCTGTGAAGTGTTAGCTGATTGTACCTATGCAAGACATTCGCCGCACTAATCTAGACTTGCCTTCATCCTCAAAATCACTTCTGCTCGGCCAACAACTTGGAAGAATTCGTCGGTTGGTTTATTAAATCTCTTTGGACTTTAATGCTTTTATATCTAACATCTCTCAATAGCGAATTGAGGTCAACTTCGTAAAAAAAAAAAAAAAAAAAAAACATCTACCGCTTTACTCTTGTCTTGCCCTACAGGGATACAACTACGCGGTCAATATTAAGCCCGGGGAAACACCGGTAGATCCTCCGCATTTCATATTCGTCGATCATTGTGGGGGAGAGCAACAAATCTAGGCTGTTCGGTGTCGATCATCCCGAAGACGTTGACTTCCAGGGGTAGGAAAATCTTGTTTACACAAAATACAAGGATACGGTACTGCAGTACGGCTATTGAAGCTGGTCCTAACGAGAATGACAGAATATCCATTCAGAGCTGAGGCCTCGAAAGCTCTCTATATATCCACATGAGCTAGAGTCAAGCTTTTGATAAAATATAACTAACTATTCAAAAAAAAAAAAATTATAATTATGAGACGATTGGTGTAATGAATAGGAGGGGGGGGAACATTTCGGGTTTTCCACGGGTCAAAAAGGAATCTAAAGGTTATACCAGTGATTAGTCTCACCATAAATACCAACCGCGATTTGGGATAGAAAAAGCTTGAAGCTGCATCGAAAGGTGAACCTGGTTATGCTGTTTGTCTTACATAAGCAACCCGAGTGATATAACGTGAATCCAGGTATATCACACTCACAATTTAGCGGCAATCGTATCTGGAACATATATGAATTGCAAATTAGTATTGGTACCTAAGCTAGGGGTTGAAATTCACATGTGGTTATGTGCTGAGCTCTGCTAAGATATCCCCGGTCGAAGCGCCGGGAGTGATACCTGCCCAGCGCGGCGCAGCCGGGATTATCTGCGGCCTTATTCAAAGATCCAGAACAACTTTTTTGGCCGTATTAATTTAACAGAAAACGGCAAATTCTCTTAGAGTTAGAGAGCATACAGGGCGTCTTCGTATCTCTCGGGCCCCTCCGGGTTGTCCAATCCGGTAATATAAACATCCAGAAACTGCAGATAATGGCAAAATAGACAAGCCTTTCATGCAGAGCTACACATCGTGCAATTATTGATCAATTTTTCGCACACGATGAAGGCTTCTTTTCTTGTATTGCTCTTTGTCTCTCTCGTGAGCTTTGTGCTCGTGAAGGCCGACGGCCTGGAAATCGTACCAGGCGCAACCTGGACCGTCCCCAACACTGGAAATCACCTTCAAGCGCACGGCGGCGGGATCTTAAAGGTCGACGACACGTTCTATATCGTTGGCGAGAACAAGACCGCAAAACCCGGTGACAACCTCTTCCAAACAGTGGCCTGCTACAAATCCAAAGACCTTGTGCAGTGGGAATTCGTAAATGATATTCTGAAAGCAACAACAGAGGGCAATTCGGACCTATCTCCAGAGGGTATAATTGAGCGACCAAAGATCATCTACAATGAAAAGACAAACAAGTATGTGATGTGGATGCATGTGGATAAGCCGGGGTACGGGTACGCGAGAGCGGGTGTAGCATGGTCAGATTCAGTATGTGGAGATTACACATATGTGGCTAGCTATAGACCACTGGACAAATATGTGTCGAGAGATCTGACAGCGTGGGTGGATGACGACGGGACGGGTTATCTATTTGGAGAGGTGAGTAAATATAATCCATATCCAGAGGAAATTGGTGATGTTGATTAGATTTAGGATCGCCCTACGGGGCTGGTTATCTTCAAGTTGTCGGATGACTTTTTGACAATTGATTCGGAGGTTTATAACTTCAACGAACACATTGAAAGTCCGGCAATTCTGAAGGATGATAATGGCGTATACTATGTTCTGGGATCACAATTGACGGGTATGCGTTTTGAGTTCGACAAAAAGAGTATCGGAGATAACTAACAGAACCGCAATCAAAGGTTGGGCTGCAAATGATAATTATTATTCTACTGCAGAGAATATAGCTGGTCCTTGGTCAAGTATGTGCCACTCTCCAGTACCCTTTGTTGAAGTAGTAGTTGACTAACCTTTTATCCAGATTTGACTCTTTTTACACCAGCCGGTAAGTTTCGGCTAGTGACTATTCACGATAGCGATCATGACTGACATATCCACAGGCTCCAAGACCTATCAGTCACAAAGCTCCTACGTACAACGTGTCGGAAAGACATTTGTGTATATGGGGGACCGCTGGTCACCTGGAAACCGCGCTGGCCTAGGCGCCTCCACCTACATCTGGCTTCCACTCGAACTCAATACCGAAACCAGGACCCTTAACCTCACCTGGTACGACTCCTGGTCCATCGACCCACGCACAGGCGACCTATCATTCCCAAGTCACAAGGTTTATGAAGCCGAGACAGCAGAACTCGAGAACGGCGCGACTGCAGTTCAAGCAGATGGCTTCTACCAGAAAGGCAGCGGCGTCGTGGATCTTGGCGGCCCAGAGAATGGAAAGTTGACAATCGAGGGCATCACCAAGAGCGTAAAGAAGGGTCTTACTAGTATCCTGATCAGGTATAAGAACGACCAGAACGTAACTGCATATGGGAAGTTGAAGGTCGGAAACCAGAAGCCAGTACGGGTGGCTTTCAACCCAACGCATCCCCAGGATCCGTGGAATTCGCCGACGGTGAATATTTCAGTCATTCATGGGTTCAAGTTCCCGGACCGTGTGCAGAGCTTGACGTTTGAGGGGTTGGAGAGTGTTAATGTGAATAACACGGCGGACGTAGACTCTTTTCTTATTAATGTGTGGTAAGGCTGCGGCTGGGCGTCTTTAAGAGTGCTTGGTCATAAATTATACATTCAAATGGGGGGGGCGGTAAAGCTTCGGACACACATGCAGTTTGATCATCAAGATGTGAATTGAGGACCATGCAATATATGGCTGTGGTATATTAGCCTCATTGTGTGCGGGAGTCTTTGTGAGTAATCTCAGAAGAAACAAAAAAATATAGGTGGAATTGATTGATCACTTCCGATAAAAAGCTGGTCCATTCCTCCATCTGATTGTTAAACGCTTGTATGTAGGAGACTGGATAGAGATGATGAAGCCGTGGATCATTATTGGAGCGAAGACGACAGTAATTGTCTCTCTAGGATGACGCTAGCTTGGACTGCATGTACGTATGCTCAATTCTTTGTTAATAAACAGCTGTAACGCCCCGAGAGCGACCATACATGTAAATGTAGTTTGGATGGCTTACGCGCCCCCGATGTTAGGGTTAGGGGATCAAATTGCTCCGCAAATCTTGTTGGCTCATGGATTATGACTCGCACCAGGTTTAGGGGTAATCTCACCAACAATAAAGTATGCACAGTACAAGACGCTGTCATTCGCCACACATGTGTCGGTTCCATTCATGCAAGATTAGCTGGAATCTCTTGTTTATCTGCTTTATATCATCATAGTCGATGATTAGAGAACGTATATTCTCTTCATCATCTCAACTTATTCGTTCAAAATTGTTCTTCTTAATTGCCACTGGAGAGGCGCGCACACTACACGAAGTTTGTAGCTTAGTAGCGTCCTTGCAACTCTAAACAGAGCTAGTGCCATTCTCTAATATTCTGTGTGATCTCTCCCGTCTATATGGATTGTGATTCGGTGGAGCCGCCCCCATCTATAAATATGCGTAGTATGCTGCCGCTCCATCTTTCTCTCCATCACCAAATCAATCCCTCCTCAAGAGCATCAAAGTAGCCCACAATGCCATCCGCATCTTCCCAGATACTCAACCTCCTGAATCCTGACAGATGCCTCTGGATTGCCATTGGTGCGCTTCCAAGTTTCCCACTCTTATCATCTTCCAGCATCTTACTAAACCAACCCAGGCATTTTAGCTTCCTGTGTAGCCTACAAAACACAATGCCAATTCCAGGCTCTCAAAGCCCGCACTCGCGCTGCAACTAAGGACGCTCCACAGGATGAGGCGGCATATGTGCCGAGCGGCAACAATTTCATCACTCTGAAAGCCATCATGTACTCACCAGAAGCCAGGCAAAGATTAAGCCGCAGCCTGGAAGCAGCTGTCAGCATCGAGGTATTGACAGCGTTGTCGCGAAGCAACAATCCAGTAATCAGAGACCTGTGAGCCGACACCTTAATCCATCCATCATAAAATTCGATCAATTGAGCTTCAGCTAACAATGGTGGGGAACAAATAGGGTGGCAGTCATTGTCCGTCAGAAAGTCGCCAGCCGTTCCTATATGTTCTATCTCGCCCGGTGCATCGAATCCAGGCGCGGATTTGACAGAATAACGTCCCTGATGGACTTGCGATTTATGATTGTCCCCCACGCCCCTCCCATAGATCCTAGTTGTGGGGTCGCCCGCTTCGACCGGTACTGGTCGCCTCTCGTCCTCGAGTCCCTCCGCGACGCCTACGTTCTGGAGGCCGTAGTCAAGTCCCTCGTGAACACCCTCCTAAGCACCCTCTACGAGGGCCAAGAAGACCCCATCGCAGTCAGACATACGCTCTTCCTCCTCTCCGTGCTGATGCAGTACTACAAGTACGCAACCGAGATCGCCATCTACCACAGTCTCATCGAATGGATGCGACTTCTTCGGCGCAGGCGCGCCGTCGAGGAGGGCCTTCTCCTGTGGCTGACTCCGTGCAGGGGTGTTTTTGCGCCGCGTGGTAGGCTTGCGGAGTGTATGCAGGACCGCATGGGGTTTAATGCCCTGCTTATAGGGGATTTTATGAGCCGTGGGCCTGGGTCGCATGATGCGAGCCTGACGAGGTGCATCGCGATGATTTTGCGGATGCCGGGGGGGAGGGAGTTGATGGTGGAGGCGGCGTTGTATAGGAGCTATGAGTGGTCCCGTGATATCTCCGAGTTGGACTCTGAGAATGAAGAGGATGAGGGGTATGAGGAGAATGAGGAAGATGAGGAGGATGAGGAGGAGTATGAGGAGTATGAAGATGAGGGGTAGTAGAGGTAATCCACCCATAAACCAAGATTAGAGGGTGGCTGAGGATTCTCGAGTATTTCGTCCCTTACTAACAGTACCAGCAGGGAACAACCACTGTAATATTCGGTGGTCCTTACGATATCTAACCCTGTCAGCGGCAAGAGTAAAACGAGGTGTAGGTTCTTTACATCAGTCGTGTGAGGCGAGTGATATTGTATGATTAAGCTGTAATAATGCAATAAATCTTCTCTTTATGAAATTTAGGGTAGATAGATTGAGTTCTGGTGTTTTGTCACTTGCCTTGAGTGAGAACAATATCGCTAGAGCCCGCGGGGAGTGTTGTCCATATGTGACATTGTTAGCCCGTACCAAACTCAAGATTAAAGCCAGCTGCAGTAGAGACACATTTTCACCACCAACCCCCAGAACCTAATCCTCATCCATGCATCCGTCAGCGGCTCCAACTCAAATACCGAATAGAGTCTTTTAGCTGCAAGAGTTGGACAGAAAGTCGAGCACTTCGACAAAAAGTCTTGCACATCTTATTGGTTGAACGGCTACAAGTCTCTTCCTAAAACAGCTAGACTTTCTGTCCAACCTGCTCGACTTTCTGTCCAACTCGCGCAGCTAAAAAGACTCTAACCAAGCAACATCTGCATAGCAGTATCAATCGCAAGGAACAGGGCTGTACAAACCTTGCGTGGGGTCTTGGCTCACAGCCACTCACTCGGCCCCCAATTCCCGGGCGAGACTGGCCACCTTCACGAGACGGGGGCCTGGATTTGTTTTTCTTTGCCTCGAACAGAGTTGTGGGGGACAACAGGAACAACACCACTAGCAGGAGAAGAGCGTGAGCACTACATGGATTGGTACTTTCGAAATCTGGGTAGTGTCGTCCTCGATCGGCTGAGGTAATAGTATGCAAGTATATGATCTGCACATGGTTCCTCTTATTGCGAGTCGAGTCTGGCTAAGGCTGCATTTAGCGGTAGGGCTAGGGCTGGCTGGGATAATCTTGTCCAACCCGACATTCAGCACAATCTAGTTGAGACATTTTTTTTCCCAAGTGAGGACAAACCCGGCGGTCAATGATCACAATCACGTTTTCACCGTTCCAAAAGATATTGCTAGAAACGCCCACATGATATTTTTTTCAGACTATAAACAAAAACACAAAATAAAAGACCCAACACCTCAAAAAACAGAAACCAAAAAGAAAAAAAAAAGCCATCAACCCATTACCAACCCTTCTACAACATACTGTTCACATTCCCCTCATTCTTAAACCTCGCCCACGCCGTCTCCACCTCCGCAAACGCATCATACCCAAACAAAAACTTCTGAAACTCCGGATCCCTCCACTTGTTCGGGAACCCGGGCTTCAACTCATCCCTCAACAGCTCCTCGTCCCTCGCCACCTGCACGGGCCCATCGGGAAGATGGAACACATCCCTCTGATGCGTGCTCTCCAGCACGATCCTGGTGGTCCTCTTCTTCCTCAGACTCTCGTACGCGGCCAACAACCCCTTCAGCTGCGCGCGGTCCTCGAGCCTCTCCAACAGCCCACCCAGCACCGCGCCATCCTCCACGGCCATCGCCGCGCCCTGCGCGAGATACGGCAGCGTGGCGTGGCAAGCGTCACCAAGAAGCACAAACTTCCCCTCAGGGTGCAACCACGTCTCCATCTCGCGCGAGTTCTGCAGCCGCCATTTGCTCACCTCGTGGACCATGTTGAGCAGCTTCCCCAGCCGCGGGTCCCACGTCTTGAAGAAGTCGCGCACCTCCTCGGGGCCAGTAGTCACGACATTGACGTCGGCGGGCATGTTGTCCGGGCAGAGGAGCACAATGTTGTACAGCCCGCCGCCCTTGAGGAGGTAGCAGGCGGCGTGCGCGTCGGGGCCCAGCCAGAAGTTGATGGCGGGGTCCTCGGTGAGCTCGCGGAGATCGGGGTCCTTGCGCATCTCGTCGGCCTTGACGATGATGCGGTAGGCCAGGTCGCCCGTGAGGTGGGGCGGGTCGGCGCGCCCCATCATTTCTTCGCGGCAGCGCGACTTGAGGCCGTCGGCGCCGACGATCAGGTCTGCGGCGATGGTGGCGCCGGTCTTGAGCGTGACGGAGGGCGCGGAGAAGTCGATTGTGGTGACGCAGGAGTTGAGTTGGACTGTCACAGGCATCCGCATTAGCCACTACTTCACCAATACTGCACCTTAGAATTGAAAGGGGAAACTCACTCTTCACCCCCAAATCGCGCGCCGCCTGCACCATGGTGTTGTGGAAGTCCGCCCTGTGCACGTGCCAGTAGGGCCCGTTATACACCTCCTGCGTGTACGGCACCAAGTTCTGCGTCGACAGGATCTTGCCGTCCTTGTAGCCGCGCAGCATCAGCGCCTTGGGGATCACGGCGTGGTTCTCCATCTTCTCCTTCAGGCCCCACTTCATCAGGATCCTGGACGAGTTTGGCGGGATCTGGATGCCTGCGCCGACCTATCCATGATTCGAGATGTGTTAGTATTGTGGGTTAGGGTTATGTGTGTTTTGGGGGGGGGGGGGGGGGGGGGAAGTTACCTCGCCGAGGGCAACGGCTTGCTCTAGGATGGTGACGTTGTGGCCGCCGCGGCGGAGGGCGATTGCGGCGGCGAGACCACCGAGGCCGGCGCCGACGATGATGACGTTGAGCTGGACTTTTGCGGGCATTGTTGCGGGTGTTGAGTAGTATCTGTGGGGTATAATAGTACTAGAGGTAGTAACTGTTGCTGCTGCTGCTGCCTGGTAGTGGAGATGGCTTCTGGCAAAGAGGGGAACAGAAACACTGGAGGATCTCTTGCAGTGGAGGATGAGTCTGGTGGAGAAGCGGAGTGATGGTGAGAGCATGGTCGGTCGAGGGGGGAGGGCGGGAGGGCAATATATATCTATCGAAGAGCACTGGTGCTGGTCCTCAATGGCGGGGCTTGGAATACAAGCCTGTAGACAGCCAGACTGTTGGAGACATCATCCATCGCCACTGCACACTAATCCATCCATCATCATCCATCTGCATGTCCTGCATACATCCACATCCATTCAGAGAGTGTAATGCAGCGATGCACCCCCGGAAACCCCGGCACCAGCCATCGGCAGAGTAAACAGCGAGCGAGTGGGAGGTGGGGGAGAGAGAGAGAGAGAGAGAGATGTGTGTGCGGTTAAACATTTACCCGCGGCTGAGCCATTACCCTTGAGGCTGAGAGGGGTGGGGGGGTGAGGCTCCTTCTCCCCGCAGTCAGTGCGCCACTGAAGAACAACCCCGGATTCGGCAGGGGTGCCTTCCCCGGCGCTGGAGATGCAAGCGAGCGAATAGGCTGCATGGCCCGTGATCACGGAACAGAGGGCATGCACCGGGTGAAGGGCTCGGTAGCTGCTTCGGTAGAATTGGGGTCGAGGGAGTCTTTTACACGCTTCTCGAAACACTGGTAGGGAGTATAGCATGGAGGTACTCTAGAGGCTCTTCTCCGGACTGCCACCCCTGCACGGCATTCCTTCCGTGCTGGAGAGCTACATACAGCTACTGTTACAGACACTACCACGCTACATGCTAATAAAACCCAGCTACCAAACCCCGCCTCGAAACGAGTTTCCCATCTGTCGATGAATATTTTTTTTTTTTTGTTCACCTCTCTCTTTATCCCCCATCATCACCAGCGCAACACCAAGAGACGGCACATCGTCCATGCACCCACCACGCACGACTTGTTCAGTGATCTGAATTTGATTCTACATTCTGGCGCTTCGCTTGTTCCGTTCGTTGTTCCGGCCGGCGTAAGTGATTATCCTATAGTATTGCCCTGCCATCTCGCCGTCTAGAGACATTCTGACAGGTAGATAGAAGGCCCTTACAGTCGTTCACAGGGTGAGGACAAACACCGGGTGTAGACGAACAGGGGTTTTTGGACAAATAGGAAACGACGGGAAAGATCGCTTTGGTAGCTTGCCATATTAAGAACCCTGGTTCGTCTTCACCCAGTGTTCGTGAACGGCTGTGGATGGGTAGATACATACTTTACATACCTACAGAGTAGGCACAGGTACGCGACCGATGACGTCGCCAGGGGTCTTCTTTACCCAGCTTACCTACCACCGCAGATCTGAGTGTTACTACTAGCACCGTCACGCCCGTCACGGCGGCACGCACTTTACGCGCACGGGAAAAGACTGTTCCGCCGCCTCCACCCCGGTCGCGCTGGTTGTCGGTCTTCAAGGCAGGGCCCTGCTTATCGATAAGAAGGCGTTGGCGGCAAGTTCCGGGTGGTGGCGAGGATCGTCGGGGTCTTGGAGGCGGTCGCGGGTTAAGAAGAAAGGTTACTGCAGACTTGTGTTTGATGGGTTGACGTACTGACTACGGGTTGGGTTGGAGCTCCTCCGAGGTGTTTGTCTTTGTTTGGTTTCTAGGGACTTGCAGCTTATGCGATCGTGCAGTTAACGAATTGCAATAATCCCGAGAGCTCATACAATCATTAGCAACAACAATCACCGAAAGCTCACGCAACGAGGAATCACTGGAAGCTCCTACAATTAATGACTTGACAGTGACCGAAATGAGCATGGACGTGAAGCGAAAGCGAAATGGTATTAATACTATTCTAGCTACCCAGGAACCACAGCTCAATGGCCTATGTCATACCGCTGAGCCCGCTAAAGACCACAGCTATCCCCCAAGATCTCCCAGCTCTCAAGCCCTCCCCCACCACCACTACCAAACCCTCCCCCCCGGCGCACACAGCTCAAACCTCCAAAACTCCTCCACAACCCCCTGCACATCCACCCCCTTCCCCTCCACGCTCACAACCCCCTCCAAGTCCACCCCCCACACCCTCCCACCCCCAACATCATACAACACGTTCGCCCCCCGCAAATCGCCCTGCCTCAGCCCCCTCGCCTTCAGCACCTCCACCACCGCCACCAAGCCACCCCACAGCACCCCGTCCCGCTGCAGCGCCCGCTTATCCCCCACCCGCCACTCGCCCGCCCACAGCGCGCTCCCCCCGTCCCACAGCAGCTCCGCGAGACTCGGGTGCGGGAGATACTGCATCAGGAGCAGCGGCACGGCCTGTGTGCCCGCTGTGCCGTGGGCCATGAGCGTGGGGAAGAGGGCGTGGTCGGTGAGGAGGTGCAGCATGGAGAGCTCGTGGGCGTGGGCGGCGGTAGCGGCGGCGGTGGTTGTGGGGCGCAGTTTTGCGATGAGGAGGGTTGGGGGGTGGGGGGGTGGGAGGGAGGCGAGGAGGATCAGGCTCGAGCTTTGGGAGGCGAGGAGGCGGTGGACCGTTAGTGTTGTGGGGGTGGTTGTTGTGGTTGAGGTTGAGGGGGTGTGGAGCGTGATGGTAACGGGGAGGGTGGAGAGGGGGGCGAGGGTGGTGAAGTCTGTTGGTGGTGGTGGGGGTGAGACTTCGCCGGCGGCAAGGAGGAGGGAGACGGCCTTCTGGAGGGCGGGGAGGCGGGCGGCGCAGAAGATGCTGGTCGGGGGCGGGAGGGTGAGTGCCATTTGCGGTGATTGTGATGTTGAGACGAGGTGCGGTGTGGTGCGATGCTGACAATTCCGGTGGAGGTGTGGATGGATGCCCGGGCTGCTTTGAGACGCAGGGTAAAGTCGCTCCATCCAGCCCGCAACACCCGACATGGCCGCATTGGGACGGGACCTGTGCTGGGGGGGAAGTGTGACTTTGGGGGTTGTGTTTTGTGTTTGCGTCTGTGTGCTTGGTGGCGGCGTGTACGTGGGCGTGTACGTGGGCGTGTACGTGGGCAGTGGGTAGATGGATAGACCATAGATGGCGCATATACATGTAAACAGCAGTCCTACACATATCCTCTATGCAGTGTGTGAACATGGAGTAGCAGGTCCTTGCAGAGCTTAATACTGCATCCAGAACAAAGGATACGGGTGAGGTTTTGGCTCGCTTTACTTGCACACACGGCCATCATCTCCCCTCAGTCCACCCTCAGTCCATCCTCCTCCCCGAGTCCCCCAACCAGCCCCCCCTCCCCCAACCAGCCCCCCTCCAACCCACCGCTCTGCACGCCTTGGATCCACTCACGATGCTCCCTGCCCCTCCCGACTACCGCGCCCGGCAGTGATCGGCACGAGTGATCGCCCGTGACTGCGCAAAAAAGAAAATAATAGCGCACGGTGCATGTTACACCCACGGCCCCTCCTCCCTCCCTCCCTCCCTCCCTCCCTCCCTCGCTCTCCACTCATCGCACCAACCCAGCTTGAGCAACTTGAACTGACTCTCCACCCACCACCACGCGCAGAGCAGCAGACCAGACCGATGGCGATCCACTACATCTGCAACAGCTGCCACAAGCGCATCTTCCCCGTCAGCGCGCGCTTCCACTGCCTCGTCTGCACCGACCACGACACCTGCCAGGCCTGCCACCTCTCCGCCCGCTTCACCGCGCCGCACGAAGGCGCCCACCCCTTCCACGTGATCTACGACCCGACAACCTCCCCGCCGCCCACCGCCGCACTCACAACGCTCGCCATCGCGCCCCCGCAGCCGCCCCCCCTCCCCCCGCGCCAGCTCTCGTCAACCTCCTCGTCCCACCACACCCCGCACTCGCCGGCGACCTCCTCCCCGCACTCCCCGCACCCCTGGGGACCCCTCACAACGCCCCAGCACACCCCCACCACGCACCTGCTCCGCCTCGCCGACGCAGCATTCACGCACTTCTCCACCCCCGCCCCCACACGCACACTGACCCCCGAGCAGCTCGCAACGTTCTACACGGCCATGGGGCGCTCCGGCTCCACAAACTTCCCCTCCCTCTTCCACACGCTCATGGCACACTACGGGGCCACGCTCGACCCCAGCGACACGCAGATCGCGTTCGTCTTCCAGGAGTACGCGTACCCGTTTCTGACCGCGACACGGGCGGGGTCCAGTGTCGTGAACGGCATGCCGCTGCTGCTGCTCGAGGGGTTCCGGCGCATGCTGCTGGACGAGATCCTGGAGGCGCCCGAGAACGCGTGGGTGGGGTTCAACACGCTGCTGGCTGCCGTGGGGGCGGCGGTGGGGGTGGGTAGTGGGCCGATTCCGCGCGGGTGCTTCCCGGAGAGGGAGGATGCGGGGGCGAGGGCGAGGGGGGATCGGATTAGTGGGGTGCTGGTGGAGCGGTCAAGGGTCATGTTTGAGCGGCTGGAGAGGGAGCGGGAGGAGCGGGAGGGGGAGAGGGAGAGGGAGGCGGGGGAGACGCCGGCGGTGAAGGAGTTGAAGAGGAGGCAGGCGGAGGTGGAGGCCGAGGCGGCGGCGCAGGCGAGGGCCGCGATTGAGCAGCGCGGGCAGGAGGCGTGTGTGGGCGGGTGGAGGACGGATAGTTGGGGGAATGAGTATTACCATGAGGGGCTCATCTAGATGGGCGTTCTTTTGTTTTTCTTTTTTCTTTTTCTTTTCTTTTATGTGGTACTGGGCTGTAGGTGGGGGTGTTTTTCCGTTGGGTGGTAATTTAATTATTTCGGCGTGCATCATGTAGTAGGCTTGTAGCTAGGCATCTTTTATTTATTTATTTAGTTGTTTATTTATTAGTTATTTATTTCAGTGGTATGAATGCGCTTTTCATGACTCGATACTCGCAAGTGCTATAAACCCGAACTCGCCGTGATCATTACCCCCCAAGCCTCTCTATCGATCCAGCCCCCCCCAACAGTGGACAAAGCCCCCCTGGTCCGCTCCCACCCATATAGCCCGCGCGAGTGAGCACCAATGATGCACGCCGAGCAGCACAGCGAGAGGGATCTAAAAACAGGGTTTGTCTAGCTGGACGTAGGCCTCCTCCTATATTTCCACCACCCTCGATCTCCTAATATCTGATACACCTCTTGCGCGTGTTAAAGATGTCTGTCGGTACTTACAGGTACAGCCACTCAGCAAAAGTGTTCGTAATGTCAGTGCGCAGTGTGGCGCACCCGTGGCGTTGATGTTATTAATGGAGAGCTTCAAGCTAACGAAAAAATATGCAATGTAGTTTGCGACTACATATCAAAAGAAGATATGTCATTGATCTTATTCTTCACTGATTCCGGGCTCCACTGGTCACTGGGAAAGTTTTCTCTTGGGGGGGGGGGGGGGTTCTTGACGGTTACATATAGAGAAATGTCTCACTCTGGAATCGGAATCACAAACACTGTTGCAGAGTGGCTGTATGTATAGGCGTCGCACGTACTCAACGGAGCACTCACTCTGCAGGTACGTATTGCGGGTTGCCACAAGTAAGCGAACAACCAAGGTTTGTATGGCACCTGGTGCAACTTCGAACATTTGTTTCTCCACAACAACATATGTGCAAGGATATAAAAGCAAAAAGAGAATCTTAGACATGGATTCCCCGGTCGTAGTGATGGCATCTACGGCTAAAATGTCATTTCGAGAGTCCGACTTTGCAATTTTGGTGTTGTTGTTGGACGGTTTGTATGGTTACTCTCTCCATGCTCGCCTACTTGTGGTAAGGAGCAATACCTACACTGGGGGGGGGGGTCCGCTGTAGCAGGCAACACCGAAATAGTAGCGCCCAAATACATGCAACGCCGCCAATAGTCCAATCCGCCTGCAGTCAACCACAGTCCGCCTGTGCCAAGCCAGTCTGGTCTGTACTTGGACGGACTGCATGGACTGCAGTCGACTGCAGTTTTTCAGCCAAGCCAGTCCGTCCCAACAGGGGACGGACTGTCGGACTATGGACTGCATAATGTCCCAAAATAGTTTAGTGGTATTGTTTATTATGATGTTTATGGTAATTAAATAGATTTCCATCCTCATGAAGGTGAAAGAATATAATATAGAACTATTCTGGTATTAATTTAGTTCTCTTTGACTGTGATGATACATATTGTCTATGAGCTCCAGGTTGAGGCCGCCTCAACCTAGCAAGAACGCGACTTAGGTAACGCCCCAATCCAGCCCTGAGGGTCAATCATGCAATCCATAGTCAGACCGCAGGCAGACTGTGGACTAGTGCAAGGTAAGTAGACTGCACGATTCAGTCCCGTCTAGCCCGAGACTGGACGGTTGAGCGTATTGAATACATGTAGTCTGTTAGATCGGAGCACCAGAGCTAACCACTTTCGTAACACTACTAATGCGCACGAACCTGCCGAGTGATCATTTCTGCTTCCAGAGGTGGCTAGTGTTGTGGGGCGCGAATCCGTCATGGGTATCCGGGGGTGGAGTTGGGTGGGGGATGAAGATGCGTCTTTCTTCTGGGGTGTTGTGTGTAGTGGGATGGGTTTGGTCGAGTTCTGGGGGGTCGGTTGGGTGGGGGCGAGAGTAGGATTTTCGAGTTCAAGGGTTGGGAGGATAGACATAAGGATAGACCGTAAGGATTGAGTCGAGTAATATATACCAATAGAGGTAAACATTTAACAATTTCAATGCGAGATACGTGGGCTTGTTTAAATTGAAAAAAGTACAGAGCTTGAGAAATATTCTTCATATGGATTACAAATTTTGGAACCGCAACTCTACATCCCCACCACCAATGAACGATAACTTCAAAAGCCAAAGTGGACTGTACAGTGCCTCTCAGGAGCAAAAGCGCAGTAGAAAAGAATCAATTCAATATGAATAGTAGTTCCTAAAAGACATCACATCAGTCATATTAGTAGTTCATGGCCGTGCCAGCCGGCCGCCGCTTCATGTCAAAACGCCCCGATGCACTAGAGCTCATTCTGCCCCATCAGCTGCTGGTATAGGTCGCCAGCATCGTCTTTCTTGGCTGCTTTCTTCGCCTTGTACTGCTGGACAACAGCGATGGACTCCCGGATAATGGCCTGGAGACGGATAGTGTGAGAAGGATGGTTATGCAAGGATTGACAAGAGCCGGGGAGAGCGCCAACCTTGAACATGCCGATACTGTTCATCAATGGGAAGATAGACCCTAGATCCCCGATATTGGTGGGGACGCTTCGCACTGCGCCCCGTGATAAAAGAAATAAGCCGCCAGGGAGCCCAGTCATGCGCAGGATTTGCATATTGAGGCCTGTGTGAGCAGACACGGGTCAGTGAATGTATACAATAGATAAGATTTCTTGGCGTTTACCTTCGTTCAGCATTCCAACAACTTGCAAATCCTTGATCGCTTCCTCGTCGCGATCAACGAGCATGTGGAGACGTCGTAGCATGGAATGCATTCCAGTGACCAATTTAGTGCTATCAGACACGTATTTCTTCGCTGGCAGACTCTCCTCGTTCTCGATACTCCTCGACACCTCTATCGCAGCGTACTCGATCGGGGCAAAGTCTCTGGCCGTGTGAATGATGGCATCGTAGCGCAAGTTGTTGTTGCCAATGAGTTTGAGGGCAAAGCATTTGATTTCCTTTCTAAAAGGCGGCATAAGTTTCATAGTTAGGCATGCAAGCCGATTTGGATCGGTTTACATACCGTTGCACGACCACACCATCGAGGCCAAGGAGGCAGTGATCAATGAGAGGAGCCCAAATGTTGGAGTCGAACCAGCCTTCCCGAAAGTTGCAGCATGAATCCAAGTTGCCGTAGCAGCCAAAGAGCGCGAGCCTGTGCTCAATTAGTAAGAGTGGGCGGAAAACAGAGCGCGGAATTAACATACATTGCTTGGATAACAAAGTTAACCCATGTAGCATCGAAATGTCTTGTACGGTCATACGCCACGTCCGGTAGCCTGCAGGGAACCATTTCGAGAATTGTTTGGTACTCTTCAGCTGTCTTTGCCTGCATTTGGGGGGTCAGTCCTGTCAAGCTTGATTGGAATTTCGTTCACTTGCCTTGGCAAACCGATTGACTGAGTAGGCAAAGTGCCCATCAGGTGATGGTAAGGCTTTCATCCGGTCCCGCAGCTCTGCAAACTCTTTGTCCAAAAACCACCCAGTCACCTCAGGATCGTTAAGATCAATTATCCACGAAAGAATAGGACTGTCTTTAGTCAACCAGGCAGACCCATTCTGGTAGTGATCGGTCACGGCGTTATGAATTATGGTTTTTACCAACTCATCCTGATCGGACGATGGATGCTGCTTGTAGGTAGACTCAAAAAGTTTAAATGCCCCATCGAGTGAACTTTCATCCATGACCTGTTCCACCGGTTAGCTAAAGAGTGATTGACACATTGACTGCTGATCGATACAACTTACATCGTCCGGGGAATTTTTGCTCTTTGGACGTTTAGTGTCAGCAGAGCCTCCAGATCTACCATCTCCAACGGCATTATCAAGTGGCCTCTTCGGCGTCTTACTAGTTTCAATATGACCGATATGGACATCATTGCCAGCATTGATGGCATTGATGAACGACCCTTTGTTTTTGAAAATGGTAATTTTCGGTTTTTTCCCATCTTTCCCTCCGGTGCCCGAGTTTTCGGGAGCGAGCCATTGCCGGGCACGATCCTTTTCCTATCGCACAGAACAAAGTCACGTTAGCAACCCCCAAGCCGGGGCCGAGATGGACGACCTAGAAAGCCGCCCGATCTGCAGCCCAGTTCCACCAGCGTTTGGAGTTTTTCAAGCTAGTAGCCTGTCCGTCGGTTTCAACTTGTAATCGCACAGTCGGTTTTCAATCACAAGCTAGTAACTTGCACCGTTGGATCCACAAGCAAACAACTTGCGCACTAAGCACGGCTAGTAACCGTGCCTGTGTCTCCAGAGCTGGCAGCGGGGGAATAGTGGGGAGAATGATACATACGCTGCGTCGCTTGTATTTCTCGCGGAGGATCTGTGCCTTGGCACGGCGGTCCTCGCTTTCGGCCGGGTCGTTGGCGATCGATTCCAGCGACCGTACCCATCTGGACAACGCGACGTCGTGCTCGTAATCGCCTAGCTTTCGACACCACTCGAGGTACTCGATCAGGTCCCAGGTGTTTTGCGGATGCTGCGAGAAGTATTTGATATTTTCGGAAGGAGGAGGCGGTGATGGTGGAGTAGCCATTGTGCTGTGGATGATGCGATGCACTGCCAGCAGGGGTGGTGATGGGTGAGATTGGTGTTGAGGTGAGGTTGGTCGATGGAGGTGGCTGGGCGCGATTGCTAAGCGAACATAATGCCAAGACATCAACCTTGGAAGCAGATCACATGACCAAGACACTTCTGAACATAAACTCTCAAGCACCCTCATGAACGACAACATAAATTACATGTAGCTAGATTTATATAAGAAGTGTCTTTAGATTTCTCAGAACTCGATTAACGCAGTAGGTAGTTCAGCTCGATCTACATACTGCGCACCACAATAGGTTCTTCCAAAGAAATCTATATATATACTTCATCAATTAACAATGATAATCCAAGGCTCCTTGATAGAACGCTTAACGTTTAAGCTTCTCGATGAACGGTACATCTCGAGTCCGAGGTTGCTAGAGTGGTTACTCAACCATGCCTCTGGAGATAATCGAGTGTGTGCCAATGACTGGTAACATTTGCGTAGTAGGCCGGGGTATGGCCATCACTATCCCTGATGTTGATTATATCGCCTCCATACTTCAATAAAACCTTGACCATCTCAATCTGCCCCCAGGAAGCCGCTTCATACAATTTGGTACAGCGATTCACAGGCATTTGGCGAATACACCCATTTGGCGAATTTGTATGTAGCAACCAGCCAGCAACCAGTCAAACTGCGAGTTTGACTAAGATATCCTGATTCTTATTGGCCGTGACCCCTGTTCGTCAAATGGGTGTATTCGCCAAATGCCTGTGAATCGCTGTATAGCCCTTTACATTCGGTCCACGCCGGTTTGTCTTCGATCAATCTTCCGCTGGAATTATTGCCCCCCTTTCTATTAGGAGCTCGACAATCCCGGGGGTATGTGTGAGGTACAACGCAGTCTGTCCTGTTTCATACATCTCCTCCTCAGTATCCGCACCTGCATCAAGTAGCGATTTTACCACTTTTGCATGGCCCCGCTTGGCCGCAATCTGAAGAACCGTCATACCGCCAATTCTCGGTAGTTGTAAAACCCCCGGCCAACTCTCAAGCAAGCATTCGACGGCTTGAACATGTCCACTCGCAGCGCAGCGGCAATATTTAGGGCCGACCTGAAAAAGGAGTGTTATTTGTTCTCAGAGTCTTCTCTAAAACTAACTGGAAAACCTGAACATGTCCAGCCTCAGCGGCAGCCTCTAATGCAGTTCTTTTCTCTGGACCTAAAACAAACGTGTCTGCATCGTTTTCGAGTAGCACTTGCACGGCCTTATAGTGTCCGTTGGCCGCGGCACAATGCAAAACTGAACTCATATCAGGCGAGATGTAATCGATATCAGCTCCGTGTCTCAACAAAGATTCAATCACGTTGTGGTGTCCACCGCTTGCTGCAATGTGTAACAAAGCTCCTTTACCAGGATCTGTCTCTAGCAGCTCTGCTCCGTTTCGAAACAGCAACTCTACTAGTTGAGCGTAGCCTTGGACAACTGCGGAGTGTAGAACCTTAGTATTGACCACCGCACCATTCTTCAATAAGAGCTCGAAGATAACCGTATTTCCAGTTGCAGCGGCAATTTCTAGTGCCCGCCCAGTTTTAGTGTAGCATGCCTCAGGATCGACCTTGTGTTGAAGGAGGATTGACACTGTTGATCCTCTTGAACGATAGCCTGGTGCAAACATGGAGCCGCTTCATTTACACCTAGTAACCCACTTTCAAGAAGTTGGCGCAGGGTAAATGTGTCTTGTCGGGGCATAGAGGCCTAGGGAATCGAGTATGTTGCGGTAGAGCCATCTATCACGTGCGATTAGTGGGTTCCGCGGAGGTTACGTTCTCAGGCCTTTCATCTTAAGTTCACCTTTCGACATGTCTTTATCGGATCGGCTAAACCTCTTCAAGTGACTCACAATACTGGTGTATACGGAATGACCACGGTGACACAGCTTCACCATGTCTGAATGATCTCCCTCTGTAGGTAATGGTTTTTCCATCTGGTCTGGAAGCTGCAGCATAGCTGATTCATCATTGACCGCCTTAAAGTACTCGCCATTTCTCGACCATCGCCCATCCTCCTACATACCCAATTTACATTAGGAACCGAAATTAACGCTAAGCCTATAGGACTAGTGTCTTCTAACTTACCTTTTTCAACTTCCTTGTCTGCTTAGTGTCATAGAAAGACACAATCTTGATCCTATTACAGTACTCTATGAACCTACTAAGCTCCTCCTTGAGTTCATCAGAATTCCTGTCGATCGAGTCAAGAAGCTCTCTCCGTGGCGAGTCTTCATCCAGCATAGATTTGATGTCATCTATGATCAAGCCACGATGAGTGGTACCGAGGAATATGGTGGCATAGGTTTCTGGGAGAAGGGAACTGGAAAATAGGTCATTATTTCTCTCCCGAGCTCGAATAAGGGACTGAAGTACGACGTGTCAGCATCCTTCATGTCGCCGTGAATTTAATGGCTCATGCTGTTGTACCTGGACAATGACAATTCCACCAAAGCTATGCCCGATGAAGATAATAGGTCTTTTCATCTCCTACGTTGATAGCGATCTTGACATTAACTCCATATCTAAGAACCTCTCAATACGGTTAGAAAAACATACCATCTCCGATTCTCTAACCTTCGCCAGTTCTTCGAGCAAACCTCGCGAAAAATCGAGCACCGTATGGGTTGCTTTACGCTGCAGATCCTGCGAATTTCCAACCTTCTAAGCTACATGGTCTAGTTGACGTGATTGGCTGCCCATGAAGATGCACTCGTACACGATCCTTGGTAGTAAACAATCGAGTCGGATAGCTGGATACATCAGGCGTGGACGAGGGGATAGGGTATACAGATCATTCCAGAAATAGTTTGCATGATCTTTGATTTGTGTGCCTTCTGCTTCATGGTGTGCATACATATACATGTATGTTTGCACATACATTCTTTCAAAGCCAAGAGTCATCCGAGCACATGATTTAGACCTCGAGCTCGAGTCAGCAGCAAACGATAATTATAAGTCCGTGTGGGTGCCAGGCAACTACTTGAAGGTTTAGCCACGTGCGCATATATCAATAGATAACCGCATTTCATGAGGCTTTGTGGATACCAGGGTACATAACTCCGGGCGTCAGAACTACATGTAGTCTAGTCGATAGAAGTCCTTTCTCATAGCATCATAGGATATCACTCGCGATGCACGAAATTTTTACCATCCTGCGCCTTTCGAGATGTAGGAAAGAGATAATCCCAATAGGCTAACCTTTCCCTGTAGTGATCTTTTCCTTATTTTGGTGGTGGAATCCAAGCGGGGTGGTGTTGCCGTACACGTTAGTGATGGATACATGCAGACGCAACTAGTATAGGGCCGTTCAATAACGTACCACCATCGTTCCCGGCGCGCGAGGTTATAGCTATATAGATATTATTATCGGTATTTGTAAGGATCTGCTAAATAGCCCTATCTAGGCTATCGTATATGTGATTATATGTAGTTGCGTACCGGTACCCTCGCTATAGAGATTAGAAGCAGTATTCAATCTACGGCTACAGACGCGCGCGCGAGCTACCTCCAGAAAAATGACACTGCCGATTTTCCGCCACCGGCGCTGGCTGAAGCCCGACTCATAGTTTCTCTGCCAGCAAGCGCACAAGTTGTGCGTGTAAGGCAAGAAGCTGGGTGAGCTTCTAGAGGCCTGTATGATCAGTGCACTGCGACATTGGAGCTACGGGAAAAAAAAGGGAAACCAGTGTTTGCATGTGGGGGTGGGGGGCGCTGGGTAGGTATCTAGATTATCGAAACAGACTGAATCATGAAACCGGAAGTGTAAGAGATTAATCCTGTTTTCACTTCTATTCTTATTTCTCCCATTTTTTTTTTACAGGCTGAATGACATGGAGAAGCTTCTCTCAAATACAATTGTGTATTGAATAGTAAATATATATTTTACTACGCGAGCACGGATAATGGGGTGATGTACTACTCCGACGATTTCTCTGAATATGACACCCAGCGGATTGGAAAGAATTGCATCCAGTCCTACTTTTTTCCGAGGGGTTTCGGTCATGCGGCGCGGGTTTGTGGATCATGGACCATTCTATAGATCTATGTATGAACGCATCAAGGTGAAGAGATTTTAATTTCGCGCCCCCGATACAGATACCTGCGTATCGAAATAGCACTGTAAATTCGATTGAAGAGACAAAAGGTCTATTAAGACCTAGAGACGTTTTTCAAACACAACAATGTCATGTAGACTTGTAGACGTTGATGTTGGCCATGGGTTGAGTTCTCACCTCCAGTCTTCTTGGCAGTCACGTGGGTTTCTCTTGGCACAGCAACGACAAAATACTAAGGTCAACGTCGGGTGTGTCGAGTAGCTGTTGCGAGGAGTTACAAGTAGCTTGGATTAAGCAAAAACTATTAATTACACATGTACTTTTATGTAAATTACTGGTTGCTGGAAGGGGCTGAAGTAGATGCGATACTTCCTAAAATACATGTAATATAATGACTGGAATAAAGATCAAAGAAAAGTAGAGTAGAGTCAATTCCTTCTGGGGCGAGCTAGCTAGAGCTAGCGCGCATAGTAAACCTAAAAGCACAAGAAAGAGAGGTAGGTCTATTAGAACAGAGTCAAGAGACGGAGCTAGAGAAAGTAGACGTGCTGGAGGAAGAGTCAATAATCACAAGCCCCTGGGAACCCCCGGTAATCACTGGTAAAGCTAGTAGTTAGAGCCTGCATGATTGATCGAAACGAAGTATGACATTTGCAATGTAGTATATTTAATAAGTAAATGCCTGAAGGTTTATCTTATTATGTAAATGTGCGTCGGTTTTTTGTGGCTACATACATAGTACTTGTTTCTAGCAAGATAGAAAATATCTACTCTTTGGACATGCAATTGGCTCCGGAGGAGTGTCATATTTGGACTAGAGGTATTGAGTTCTGGTTTCGAGTATTACAACAAAATAATGTTAGTATTGACTGCAGACCATGTGTGTACATGTACCTAAATAAACAGGGTAGCTCATAGATAGGGTTTCTTATGGAACCAGGTGCTGTAATAATCAACCGGGTCTTTATTCACTACACTGGACGAGTGACAATCTATGAATATAATTGCGGAATATCTAGCAAGATTTTATTTATACCAATATCGGAATATTAAAAGAAATAATAAAACGGCTGTTTCAGATTCATTTTGACTTTTTGACGCATAAACATCCTTGATATTGACCCAGCTTTAGTAAAGACGACAAACAGCTTTGCTTTTATTTTCGACTATCTTAAGATTCACAGGATGATTTCCTCCAGATAATGCGGCCCTAAGGCAGAAAATAACTCGGATAGAACAAGCCAGTCTACCATATCACATTCAAACCATTATCTAATTCTAAAATTGAAACAAAAGAAAAATCCCTGTATAATTCTGACAGTATATCCTCACACATTTAAACCCTCCGTCGAGCTATGGACACGTCCGTACGAGGTCTAGCGTTCCTGAAGAAGTTAAGGATGCCGGACCATTTTGGAATTAGTGAGAGAGCAAATATCAAAGTCGCTCCAGTCCACTTTCTAAGGAACCTCCAAAGCTTCTTGCCTGTGGACAGATGACGAGTCACGGTGGTGGTTGGCGTTTCTTCTGGAAGTGACAACAGTTCCTGGATGCTGCTCAAGACTTTGTTCTCCATATGTTCCTCTAGACTTTCTTCGGCAAGGGCTTCAACGACCTCTCCTAGATCAGGTGTATCTGGATTATAATTATCATCGTTGTCCTCCACTGGGAATAGGTGATGGAAGATTTTGTCGATAATTGAGTCGGCGCAGGCGGGACTGGATGAGGCATTATAGATGGCCTCATAAATGTGAGACTTGGTGGTAAATTGGGCACTGCCCAGGGAAGCCATTCTTCCAGCGTAGTACTTGCGATAAGCATCAAGTTCCTCTGGGGAGTTTTCACGCTCGGCCTCGGGGTAGCCGTACATGAGGGGGTCCCAATCGCGTGTAAGCCATGCAGGATATGAGCGACACCCGATCCATTGAGGGACGGTTTGAACATTGTCCCAGTCGATTATTGCGGTAAGAGTCCCATCCTCAGCTACGAGAAAATTTTGGCCGCCAAAGTCGGGGTGGGTAAGCACGAAGGATTCATTTTCCGTCATTGAACGTGAAAGAGGAAGACTTTCAACCATCATTCTGAGCAACCGGTTCATACCAATTGCGAATGAATCGTCCTCAATGATTTGGGCGTCAAGTAAAGAGGTTAAGTATTCACGTGAGCTATCGAATGGTCCAACGCTTTTGAAGATAGCACCATTGTGATCTGCCTCTTGCTGCCTAATCTCTTCCTCTTGCTCGATATTGAGTGGGCCGATTTTAGGCGAAGAAACCAAATGTGATCGAGTATCTCCTTCAAATTCCAGGCATCCAATTTTGTTGAATTTAAACTGTGTGAGCTGTGACATTGCGCTGGCAACGGTGTCCAAAATTCTATGCCTGCGCTCTTCCAGCGGGGTTGGGCCACTCTCATCCCACCAGGTCTGACACACGGGGGTTCCATCATTGAACTGCATGATGGTGTAAGGGGACGCGATCTCATTTTCGGTTGTGGAGTCAAAGCTAATGATATCTGGGATGGGGATCGTGGTGTATTTGCGAATGAAATGCATGGTCATGATCTCAGACTGTAGTCGACGACTCCCAGGGTCTTTCAAGGGGAGCCGCAAAACCCACTTGATGCCATCGTTAAAGTCCAGAACGTGAATCAAATTGTAAGATCCGCATAGGGGAGGAGAGACTAGAGTGCAGACTGTACCGGCAGAAGGTGCTGTGGACCATTCCCGATGAGTACGAAGGGCCAAGGCAATGATGGATTCTGGCTGGATTCTGGTAAGTAGAGAATCAAACTTGGCGAGAGCACAATCAGGTCCGGCGGATTCGCTAGATCCAGAAGAAGAGGAGGATGAGGATGACGGGGATGACAATGGGGGGGTTTCATTCAGTTCAATGACGGAAGCTTTAATTGTGACTTTGTTAGCCCATTTGAGAAAGAATGAAGAGGGGAAATAAGACAAGGAAACTCACAAGGGGGCGAGACAGGAGCCGGTGGAGGACGAATGGGAATGAGAGAGGAATTATAAGTGACCAAATCACCCTTCCCATTCCTATGACCAAAGAGAGGGGTGATCTCTGTCGCCGTGCACGCGGAAGACATTGAAGGATATATTGGTCCTGCTCTTAAAGAAGAACGGGGATGTATATAGGTTTTTATTGTATTTTTTATGCAGAAGGACACTGGGAGAGGTAGTTGTGGAAAAAATGGTTGTGGGATTTTAAAGTCTTAGTGGTGGTTGTGATGGCTTTGATGAGGATGGTAAAGGAAGAAGAGAACGAGAGGTGGGATGTAGTGTGGTGTGGTATATGTATAAAGCCAACTTCAATGTTCGCACGCAAGCTTGGCAAAAATCAAGAGAGCAGAAGTCGAGAGCAGGAAGAGGATACACCAAATGGTTAGACGTGTGTGTGTAGCTATATCCTGTAGGGTTGAGTGCAAATTAAAAGCTGCAGACGCCAATAAAATTCAAAATACAAAGATTCTTGCGGAGGGCGCCCCAGGCATTCAAATGCACACACACCAGTGCATGTAGGTACATGTTAGCGTTGGATGCAAAACCAAAACCTACGTACGAACAGACTAGACCCCAACCTTAAGCTCATATGTAATTATGTGTATGTAGTTGCGTGTATTTGAAAAAGGATATCAGCACTGTATTTAGCACGATTTGTTTACATTTGAGTACATGTATTCCCCATACAATCCAATGAGAAAAGGGCACATGAATAAATGAGCACTACATGTATGTATGTATATACACGTAATACACGTACATACACCGGTACAGGAAATGAGGATAAAACTGATACCGCAGTAGTACAGTACTCATGTAAGATCTATAGACTATGCCCCTTTATGCTCATATTTTAATAAAGTACATGTAGGTATGAAATACATATATTTGTATGTAGTGTAACCGTAGTCTTACGGCATTGCCAAAGCTTTAAAGACGGGAATGGAGACCTTACTTAATTATCCACGTTTCTGTCGCTATAGTTATAAGCGCTTTTAATTTGGTTCATACGTGTACATACATGTACACCCGCAGGAAAAAAGTGAGGAAACAACGAGTAGCGTGACAATGAGTGCGTCTAACTTGACATCCCCGCACCCGCAATACAGCCCCGCGAGTATTCCCTAGCCATGCCTTTTGACAAGTCCGGAAAGCGAAGGGAGGCTACTCTGAATGAAAACATAAAAGTTATTGAAGCCCAAGCTAGGGAAGAGTGGGAAAGGCTAGATTGGGAAAATGTATATAAAATCATTGACAGCATACCAAAGAGAATTGCAGCAGTAGTAAAGAACAAGGGAAGTCATAAAAAGTGGTAAATATAGTTCAGAGGCCATAGTATCTATTCTGTATCTCATTGTGTAGTCATATTACTTCTATTAATTTCCATTTTCACTTTTTCATTGGGGTTCGGATTGGTTGCACTCGTTGTTTCCTCACTTTTTTCCTGCGGGTGTACATACATGTAGTTTTGTGTCGCGTGCAGTATTCATATGTTTTGGTCGGGATATAGAGTGGTTTTAGTCGGGTTAAATTATTACTATATATACATGCATGTTAGTCACTTGTGGGTATTACGGGCCCGCGGGGTCAACAAAACGTATGCTCATTGACGTTAGAATTGGTAGCAAGATTACATGTATATACATGGTATGCTGGAGAACAGCAATTACATATAAATCTATGGTATTGTACTTGGGTTTGAATTTATCTGCAGTTGACTTTATTGTCGTGCTTCCGCGTGACTCTACCTCTATGGTCCATATCTGAGGGAGAAGAAAAAAAAAGATATTTTGTCTTCAAATCTTATCCTCGTTCCGTAGAGAGCTTGAGTGCAGGTAATGAAGCTAGAGAAAAAATTACCTGCAGTAGCTGTCTTAGCAATTGATTCGGGCTCTAAGGGTCATGTATGCCCAAAGAACAAACTATGTTGCTAGCAGAACAAATCAAAAGGTATAGACCAGCGTAGTTGCGCAAAGAGGTATTCTGGGTGCAAAATCAAAGGTGGCGATTCCACGTACTCGAAAGCTCTATTTCGTCAAAAACCAATATTACGGATCTCAATCCGGTTAGCTAGTCAGTTGGGTGCAAACCTAAAGCTGGCGAGCTCAAGGTCCTGCAAGTGGAATAGATGCGTAATGAAACGGCGTGTATCCTATTGAACCTGGAAGTTAGACCTGTAGTAATATTCTATGAATTGTACTTCGAAATCGGTACTGGGAGCTATTTAAGCTTAACCTTCCTAATCGCTTTCTGTTCCACATTAACCTACGAACGTCACACTACATATACTGGACGAATAACAATTATACAACTAAAACAAATACACAAACACTTCATTTACAATGCCGGGCTCCCCTAACAAGAGGCTCCATCACTGGTAACTACATCCACCCACTATCTTTTAGAGTATAATTATAGGAGTTCTAGCATTATTATTTAGGATTACTATTAACATCACTCTCCTTTATCTAGCCCTGGATGCAGCAAAACAATAAATCTCACAGTTTGTGAGAGGAAGGGCCATGTCGTCAGATGCCCATTTCACCCTACAAAATACCTCAAACCAGGCACCGAATGCCCGAAATGCAAAGTCATCCGCGAAACCGCCGAAAGGAAGGAGAGGCAGCAAAGGATCGACGAGGCAAATGGAGTAACAGTGGAGGTCAAGAAGGCAAAACTAGCGGCCAGGAAGTACGGAAAATGGTAGAGACGATGCCTTAGGTTCGATTGGACGGGAGAAAGGAAATAGATGAGGAGAAAGGGAGGCCGAAAACGAGGGCAATGAGTCGTATCAACCTTCCAGCTGCCATTTTTTGGTTTTATTTCATGTCTTGATCTTTGTTGTACCATCCTCCCATTCGAGATAGAGGCTATAATTATAACTTTAAGAATTATACACAGCTGTACAGTCTTTACTTTAAATTCTTGTTTTAAGTTTTTAAACCTTTTTCATGTTCGTCATCTTTCTTCTCGATCTCTGATATTTCTTGGGGTATAAATCAAACCCTTCTCGTAGTCCTTTCTTGGAGTTATCAACCTACTAGCGCTGGGTAACGAATCGGGTAACGAATCGTTTTTACCACGTAACGTTTGTGTGGGATGAATGCTTGGGGTACATACACGTAGTGACCTAATGAAGAAACATACTTTTAGTGTTGATCAAACCGTCAGGAAAACATACGAAATCTCACTTTATTGCGGACATCTGAAGATTTACAGGATGAGATTGCTGCAGAAAATGTGGATGTAACGAAGAAGAAAAGAAAAAAGTAGACACAAATGAATGGTTAATTGTGTATATCATATCACATCTATACTACTTGGTAATCTTGAAGTTTAAATAACAGAAAACCTTCCGCATGATTCTGACCATAACCCGCCTTCTTTTTTTGAAACCTCAATTAAACCATAGACACGTTTGTTTTGACACGAGGCCCCCGCAGAAAGTTGAAGAAGCCAGGCCATTTCTTGATTGCTGAGGACACACCGGCAGGAAGAATAGATGCGCAGTAAGAGAAGAGTAGTGTGGCTCCGGTCCACTTTCCAATGAACTGCCGGATCTTTGCAGCCTTGGAAATTGTGTGAATCACCGAGATGGTTGAGATGTCTTCTGGAAGCGAGAGCAAATCTTGCATTTTAGAGATTATTTTTTGCTCGACCTTTTTGCTCAGACCGTCGCCAGCCAGCGCTTGAGTAACCTTCCACAAACCTGGAACCTCATCGTCGTCCTCTTCTTCGTTGTCGTCCTCCTCCTCGGAATCATCCTCAACCTCCTCGTTCTTGTCTTTTTTGGAATCGTTTTCGTCATCGTCGTTCGCATCATCGCCGTCTTGACTATCATCCTCATCGGTATCATCCTCACTTTCGTCATCGGAAGATTCTTGAGCCTCCTCCGGAAACATGTGGTGAAAGAACTTGTCTACAATCTCATAGATACAAAGTGGACTAGATGCAGCAATGGCGATAGACTCGTAGAGATGAGATTTGGTAGTAAACCTGGCACTACCCAAAGAGGCCATCTTTTCCGCGTAGTATTTGCGATATGCTTCGAGCTTTTCTGGAGAATCTTCGGATACGCAATTCGGATTGCCATAGCCGTACATTATGGGGTCCCAGTCTCGGGTGAGCCATGCTGGATACGAACGACATCCGATCCATAAAGGGGAAGTGTGGACGTTATCCCAATCAATAACAGCGGTCAGGGTTCCGTCCTCAGATACAAGAAAATTCTGGCCACCAAAGTCTGGGTGAGCGATCTCGAATGATTCTTCGCCTTTATCAGGCTGTGAAAGCGGGAGACATTTGATCATCATTCTAAGTAATTTGTGCATTCCAATTGAGTAAGGACTTTCTGGAGAACCCTGTCCGTCCAACAAAGCGGTAAGGTATTCTTGCGAATTGGTAAACGGGCCAATCATTTTGAATAGAGGGCCAGTATCCACTCCTTCTCTGCGCTGGGCCATTTCGTTCTGTTCGTCGATTGTGCTTATCGGGCCTGTATTTGGGGTGAGGAATAAATCTGATCGTGGGTCATCATCAAATTGAAGAGATCCAATTCTGTTGAAGCTAAAATCCTTCAGCTGGGACATGGCACCAGCGAGTGTGTCCAAGATCCTGTGACGTCGCTCCTCGAGCGGAGTTTTTCCAGTCTCATCGAACCATATTCTAGAAACAGGAGTGCCCTCAACAAATTCCATCATGAAATAAGGCCATCCAATCTCATTTTCGGTTGTGCCATCAAAGCTAATAATGTCAGGAATGGGAATAGTGGTGTTTTGGCGGATGAAACGCATCGTCTTCACCTCCGATTCCAGTTGACGCCCATCGGTAGGGAATCCTTCCGGGCCTTCCATAGGAATTCGAAGGATCCATTTGGTTCCGTCCGAAAACTTCAAGACATGAAGCAAGTTGAAGGATCCACAGAGAGGTGGAGAAACAAGATCACAAGTAACCCGGTCGTATGAAGGTGATGCAGAACGTTCATGATAAATGCGAACTCCCATGGAGATGATGGATTCAGGTTTGATCTTAGCAAGTAGTGACGCAAAATGAGCCAAAGGATCCTCAGACTCGGAGGAACCAGTGCTGGTGGAAGATGAAGCACGCGAGATTACCGGAGCAGCAGTAAATGCATTTACTTCAACATCTAAGTCTATAAGAGTGATTTGATTAGTTGAGATAAGAACGATACAAGGGGAAGAGATAGAAAGGAGAGCAAACAAAGGCAGGCAAGCGAGAGACGAATAACCTACTTTCTTGTGGAATAGAACGAGAGAGAGCGGAAGGGGGAGGCAAGGTGTACATGGCCGCGTCATGTGACATATCGGCCATGAGGGGGGTGCTCTCGTTTATGGACGAGGAACACATTAGAAGGAGATATCTTTCTGTTTAATTGATGTCTGTAGAACCGAGGTCTATATTTAAGTTTATCTCTTCGTTCCTTCGCGGGGCGGTAGTGAACTTCTTTAAGAAAAATAAATGCTAAGGTGCGTGGGAGTAGATAGTTAGCTTTTGTGGTGTTTGTAGTTACAGAGAAGAGAAGTAAGTTCAGTAGGGCGAGGGTGTGGTGTGGTGTGGTATTTAAGCATGTACATGTACATGTACTTTGTACTGCACGTATGTACACACACATATAAGCTGCAAACTTTGTTGCACGCTGCGGCTTGGCAAAATATATATAAAAACGAAAGTTGGAAAAGAACTAACCTGATTGAGAATAGGGGAGGGAGGAAGAAGAGTCTCAAAGATATGAGTGAAGATTGAGGTAGAATCGGAGTATATAGAAGGAAGTAAAGGCGAAGAGTAGGCTGCAGTGCTGGTTGTTTTTAATTTTCCGTAGGTTTGCCCTTGGCCGATATTGTTGTGTGAAAGTGAGTGAAAGGTAATCTCACTGCTGCAAGCTCAGTGGTATATATAATCATGCAGAGTGAGAGTGCAAAAGCTAATATCACTGCCAGAAAATTGCTGTAGCTGGTATAGGTGCGTGAAGGTGCAAAAGCTAATCTTACTGCCGCAAGAAGATAAATACCGCAAAATCACCACGATATGCTACTGTCCGGACGTCCTCTTATAGAACCCTGGCCCTAGGATGCTTCTCTAAAAAAGTTTGTTTTCCTTGGGGGATGGGTTTTGACCAGGAATCGCATGAGTGTCTTGGGGAATTACATTAAGCTCCTGGCCGTTTATGGATATTTATAGATGATGAAATACTTAAATCTTAGTTTGAACTTACTATGCTTTACAAAAGGCGTGAAGTGTATAGTCTAATGTAATATATGTCCTGCATTGTACAATTTTAATTTTAGTGATAGTTACTATTGGTCTCGGAACGCCCAGAGTTGCCTATGCTGCCTAGCTATAGATACTCGTATTTACATTTACTCCCATGACGTTAACGTGTTGAGCGCAAAATTAAAAACGGCTGGCATCGAACATTTTGCACCTGTCCAAATCATTCAATGGGACTCACGCCTTTTAATTTTAGACCGCGTTTATAAAAAGCGTTCTACACGCATGACTTCTCTCACTCTCTATCCACAACAACAAAAAGATTTCAGCAGTAACAAGTTAAAAAAGTTTACTTTTCCCCAACAACCTTCAAAGTACAAATAGCTTTAGCCATTGACAATGCACCATTGGTAAGTATTTCTCTCTAATATTGATGTTTGTCTAGGCATATATATGGTCCCACTACTTACACATTCTCACTAGTCCTACCTGCCATAAAGCCTTCGATAGGTCCCGCTGCCCGAAAAAGGGTCATGCCGTCCAGTGTCCTATACATCCAGAAGTTTATAGCGCCCCCGGCAACGAATGCGCAACCTGCAAGGTTATTCGTCAAGCGGAGGATCGTGAGGCGAAGGAGCAAACGAAGAAAGAGAAGAAAGATAAGAAGAAAAAGGTTACCTAAATTGCCTGATCATCCCTGAGAAGATATGCGCCTATTACCTGCGAGGGTGTAGGTATCGTCCGAGGTCACAGGCAAATAGAAGGATCGAAACCTGGGAATAAAGGATAGGGATGGGGGGCCAAAGAGAGGAGTTGAGGATCTTATCAACTTTTTTAGCTTTCATTTTTATTTCATTTCATGTCTTTATCTTCTTTTGTACCGTTTTATTATCTGGGGGGAGTTAAAAACTTCTGAATTCTAACCAGTCTTTACTTTACTTTCTTCTTGTTTTTGGCTCTTACTTTTTCTTCATCTTCGTCATGTTTCTTCTCGATCTCTGGTATTGCTTGGGGTGTAAACCCTTCTTGTAGTCTTTTCTTGGAGTTAATATGATGTATTCATTCTTCCTATATTTTTCCTTCTTTCAACGTTTCTCGCCATGGTTGCTCTTGTTTTTTCGTTCTCTTGTCGCCGGTTCTTATGCCTTCCTGTTCGATTTTTCCCTTCTTCTTCGATCGTGACTGTCGCCCAAGGTCCTCTCATCACATGTCCGGCAACCAACTACCACCGATATCCGCACAACAGGATAAAGCTGGTCGATTACATTGAGCCAAATATATCCTTCCGGCAACTTACGACAACCAGCAAGAGTATTGAAGTGTTCACGTGTTGAGCAAAGGTATGCTCCCCAAATGTTTTGCGCATTCTTGTAGTTGATGGCCAGCTGCCGCAGATTGACGTTCAAATCCGTCTACAAGTAAGTTTTTCCTAATAACATGTAGCTTGCTCCTCGACACATGTACAAGTACATGGGGCTAGGTTCCCCATACACTAGTACTGGCGTCCTACTAATTGAACATCTAAGAAATAGATGGAGAATAGAGACCCTCTTCCTCCCGCCAGCTTCATCTCCAACTTTGAAACGTAGTGGTAGGTGTGAGTTGTCCTGCTGACGTCGCTCCCAGTTGGTTGAACAATAATTTCTGATTCCACAAGTTGCTTCCTACAGCTAATCGAAGATCAATGCGAATACTAAGCCCGATTCTCACTGGCAAGCAAACGGATGAATAACCGACTGAGTCCTACTACATGTAGTTTCCATACTCTCGTCCAAACCGTAATCGGAAAGTCTATTTCTAATTCTACAAATGCTGTTGCCTGGGTGCATCTGTGGGCTATGTGTATAGGATACCCGATTTCCAGTTCACTGGAAGGGATGAATAGAAGTACACTCGATCTCTCCGCCTGCTTGCCAGAGTAACATACTATGCCTCCTTCCCAGTTTACTCAAACGGATGAATAGAAATACAGCCTTGATCCTTCTTCCTTGCTATACTAACATCTCAGGAATTCACTCTCATTCTACGATGCGGAAAGCCTCAGAGCCTTTGCTTTCACCCCCTAAACTGACCGTTACAAAACACGGTGACTTTGTCTTTCTGGTGATGGGGGGCGAGGGGCATTGTAAGGAGGTTGAAAATAGGAAATCGGGTGAACTTCGTTTCCCCGCCGCTGTCTGACACTGTGATAGATTGCTGTGGTAGCTTTGTGGGCGATGCTGATCAGCTGAGGTACATCCACCGAGAACCTTTTAATACAAATGGGTCTGAAAGGCCGCGGCAGCGAAGATTTACGCTCCCTTCTACGTGTCTGAGGCCAGAGCCACATTGATAAGACCGAATTAGAGAGGGAGAGCGGGAAGAGGGTATAATAACTACTGGCCAATGTGGGAAGAAGAAACAAATCATAATCACAGCGCTCATACTTGAGATTTTTTCCATTTCCAACCTTTACCACACAAATCTGTAAAGATAATTCTCTCCAACTAAGGGTCACCTTTTTCATGACTTGCTACATGATCCTTTGTGCACAGGCTGATTCGTATAATCGACCTTGAATCTCTTCAAGTTCAATGGCATCTCAGATTGGCCTTCTTATTTTCCGGGAAATTGAGTGACTTGCATTATGGACAAGAGCAAGCAGTAAATTGCTTTCTTTTCCTCCCCCTCCATCATCCCTTCTGCTTCATCTGTACGATCTCTTTCCTTTATTGACACTTGTAGACATGGTGTGTCAAACCTCCCTGAAACACACTGGATGTACAGCATCTCTGCCAGCCCGCTTGAACGGCCAGCTATAGCTCGCGGCAACCCTTCATTGCTTGGGGTACCGGCAGATGTAGTTGACTTTGGCACATCTTCGTAGGGAGAACCAGTCCGCGCCCAGCGATAGAGTGGGATCGACAGCGAAGTAAGAATATGCGAGAGTTAATGCTTTGTCCATTCTAGGAACTCAAAGATACCCCCAAACGGTAGATCTGCTCGAATACAGCAGACCGTAGAACCCATCATCACAATTTGTCTATAGGCTGGATTCTGCAAATTGGTATTCCCGAAAAAAAATCAATCGCTCACTACTTGATGAGCAATCAGCAGGTTTCACGCGTAAAAACCAGATGGTAGAGTATTCCACACCCAACCCAGCTGAGACACGTGGCTATATATATATCTCTTCTACAGTCGACTAATCAAAGCAGGTCTTTATGTGAGTAGTTTCAGCATACCTTAGGGACAAAACCCAGTCGTCAAAAGAAGAGAAAGAGGGTGCCATCATCATGGTTCAGTACTCTTTAGATTAACGGCGAACATGGGATTAGTGGCCAAGAGAGATTGCAAAACAGCAGTTCTATTGCAACATTTCAAAACCAATTGACCGGGCGCCCTGCTACAACTACCCAAACCAAATTGGCCACAATTACCAAAAGTTGAACTACCCGGAATTATTTGAGTCCATATTAGAATCTGGGATAATGCAAGTATTGGGAATCAGAGAGATTATATCCTGAGTTTTTCTGGCGTGGTTCTGTTGTAAGGAGACGCTATCCCATATGGGGTTTGGTTACAGCACTGTGTCCGCTTGATTTTGCAAACTCACAATACCTTTAAGATAGCCGTTTCTCATCGCTTCGGGAGGTTATTCGCTATTGAGACGGCTATATCATCAATCCTAAAGTCCTAGAGAGTCTAGTATATGTTGCGTTCTAGCAACGATATTAGATAACTCAAGATTGTGGGGTATTAACGGTACCGGTAGTCCAAAAGGAAAAAGAAAAGAGAAATCCTTTCAGTCATAAGTTGTGTAGCTATATCCATCATTTTGAAACCCTTTTTGGCCTGAAAAATATTCCCAGGCATAAATATCGTAGAAGCCCATATAAGTGGCCAGTTATGGCAACCTCACCAGTTGACATTTCATCCCATCTTAGACTTATAATGATCACCGTATCTTGCACCATTCGGGCTTCTCGAGGATGATGTATATCTATAGGTACTTCGAAGACTACTTCTTTATTATAATGTTCAAGCTGCCCTCACTAACAAATACCGCGTCCTAGGCATTCAGGCTCTCCGATCAGTCGATATCACCAGAGAGAAGCGAACAGTTCAGAGGAGGAGGAATAGAGGTGCCTCACATGAAGCCTCACCGAAATGGCAGTATCGATACAGAGAGTAGCGATTGTAAAACCTTCATTCGGAGTTTAGCAGAGAACATAGAACTGTATGTCGTGTCCCTCAGCTCCCGGCAAATCATACACTGTGGCGAGAAATAACTGAACATCCCAAAACGAGGGCTGACTATCTTTGGTGAGTGGGGAGGGGAGAAAAGTATTCCACATCATACACATGCGCGGAAAATGCGACTCCGGAGGACCATAAGGGGCGTAGCGAAGAAGTTATCTCGCCTCAACACCAAAGATCTACCATCACCATCGCCACCACTGCACACGCCGTTAAAAGCAGTAAGGAGCCGCTGCCGAAAGGTACGCTTTACTAGAGATAGTGAGTGTGGGTGAAAGAATTACTTCCCATGAGCGAGAATGAGGCGGAGGTACACATACTGCAGAATCTCCTGAACATCTTCATTCCCGGAGGAGGACGAGGAGGAGGGGAGGGGAGTCAGATCAAGTGTTCGAAACCGGCTGCTGGTTCTATAATCGGCGAGCATTGGGCTACTATCTTCCTGTAATATGCTATAGGTTCTTTTCTGCATTTACTAATGAGCAGTACTCCCTGCTATTTGTGGCCCTTGCCCATTACCGCGGTCCAGGGTGGCCTTTCGGGGTCTCGATACCGATACCGAACAAGTCTCGACAGTATTCATTCATTGACGATAAGGGCAACACTGACTTCCCACTTGGAGAGATAAGCGATGAGAACAGTGGGGGTGATAGAGCAGGAGGTTAATAAAGAATGAAGCGAAAGGCAGCCCCGGGGGGGGGGGGATTGATCCTGACTGAGCTCAATGGACCTACATATACATCCCGTGCACGTGTCCATCACCACTTGATACCAGAGCCCGCTACCCGTTGAAGAGCTGGGCCTGGACTCAGAGACGAAGCAGGTCTCTCTCGAGAAGGGGAGACTCGGCTGTGGGGAGGTGTCCGCTCGGGCATGAGGCTAGATAAACTGGCGGGAGGAACCAAGAGGCTTAATTAAAGATCAGGGATCAGCAGCAAACCATGATTACAAGCGCTAGCGAAGACCACAGACGTTCTCTGCACTTTTCATGATGTATATACCTCTCTCGTAGACATTCGGTACGGTGTTACGGTGCGCATACACGTAGTTGGAGTTGGATAGAGGAGCAGGAAGAGTACATTCATTATATCATTTTTGTACTTACATTTACCGACATAAAGTCTTGAGGGTCGACATACATACGCAGGCAGCTCGGACATGGGTACGTACTATATCGGCCGGGACATGCAACTTAATACACACACAAATCGTGTACTTCTCTCTCCAGATCTGGCTGGGTGTAGTTTTTTTGCACACTTATTCTTGGCATTTCCTGAGCTGGGGGCTTGAGGCATTGGCATAATTACGTAGGCGATGGGGCTTCAAAGGGGTCCTGGAAGACCTTTGTTTCTGTTTTTCAAACACAGCGGTGGTTATATGAAGGAAATGGCGTGAAGAGTTTGATGGCAAAATTTTTAAAAGCAACAGCTCCCAGGTCTGCAAACAATCAATGAGATACAAATCAATCAATCAACAGCTCGCAGGGAATCGCAGTTCGTGAATTATCAATCTGGCAATCGCAGTCGATCACTCCCTGCAAGAGGCTCGAGTGATTCATCATGACTCACAATATCAGGGTTAGGGGTCGTCACTGCACGGACCGAAATTAGAAAACACCAAATTTGACTATACTAGTGTCTAGATTATATCTCACCTTTGATTTAATTTTCACGAAACTCAGGTTAGGCATAGTTCACGATAGATAAACCCACGTAAAACTCAGACAATAATATTCAGTCTCTAGTTGGACCACCGAGATTAATACAGGTTTATATGATGGAGTGCGTTTATTTTGAGGTGTTTGTATAACCTAAATTTTCTGTTAAGCTAAGAATAATGAGGCTATGGTCTCTTGAATATTCTTACCTCGAGAAGTGACTAATGTGTGGAAGAAGGGGACATCCTCAACTCTCATCGGCGACTGGATCCTCATATTTCTCCCTTTAATCTTGTCTTCCAAGCCCTAACATCGTGTAATAATGGTTTATCTGTCTCTGGTCAGTTACGCGCCTTCAATACTTTGCATCATGACTTCTTTTCTCGTCCAATAGGAGTCTAACCTTCGATATTTCCCCCTTTTCTACCGTTTTCCCTCGTAAAGTACGAATGTATCGCAATAGGTGTTATTCTTATTCCCCATGGCCGCTCAATTACGCATTTGCGCGACCAGCTTCAAGGCATGATTCCTCTCGGTTAGATCGATGAGAGGGCCGGTTTCTCTTCCATTATACCTCTCGAAGATTTCATCCTCGTTGCCTTGGAAAACAACTCGGCTGAATTCAAGAATATGATGACAAGAAACGATTTCATCATTTTCTGTATGATTAGCCCAAGCATACCCCAATGATCAAGTGCACTACTTAGTTCCGAGTTTGGAATAAGTTCTGCCACCTTAAATCCAACTACAGCAACTCCGGATAGTGACTTGATTGCCCGGTTCCACTTTCGGTAAGACGCTGGCCCTTTATGGAGACGGATCCAACAAAGTACAAGGTGAAGAATGAACTCCAGGGTCTCGCAAAGCACAGTAATTGCAATTACAGCTTTGGGTTTGTTGATATTCCCTGGGTAACAGACGAAGACCTCAACAAAAAAAGAGGTCAGGAATAATGGAAGAGCCACCAACAGGAATTCCCAGCCTCTCATTTCTGAAATGAATCGCTTCTGGTAGGGGTCGTGCCAAACGACATAGTTTAGTGCCTGGACCTTCTGTTCATCGTGTGGAAAATTGGATCAACATCGCGATACAGTTGAGCCTTTGCAATAGGATTGCCGGTTTCGCGATATGTGTCAAACGCTTTAATTGCGTCTAGCGGATGCGTATTCGTCAATTAGGGTTCGGGTTACGTCGAACAGGCGGTTCTCGTTGCGAATCCATGCCTGGGTAGTTATATTTCGAGGGTTCAGTTGGAGCGGCTGGATGCGGCAAGATGTGACTTCTGATGAGAGAATAACCCGCAGAGTATGTTGTTAGTCGACTGAACAGTGGTTATGATAGGCCGGTTGCAAAAGACGGATATGAAGATATGGGATTCGTGGCCGGAACTGATCACTAACCGTTTCTCACAACACCTGAGGATCGATGGTGGCTGTTCTTTCTGGCTTTAAGAAACGGCTTGCTAGGGATGGAGCGTAAGCGGGGTATTGGGTTAGAGGTAAGCCACATAAGAGGCAGGGGGAACAGTCATGAGAGGAGAGCTCAAGGAGGACGTAGATCACACACCGTGGGAGCATACTCACAGCGAGGAACATATATCGATTATACGATAAAAGTGAGAGCTTGGCCATTGTATGTCGATAAAGATCCCCAGGGGACGTCAGCGTAATAGAGCCGGCATCCACGATCACTTATAAGCACGTGTTGATATTGCTGGCGGCACTGGCTGATGAAGATGAGAGACCTCTCAAAGGTTGAGATGGATTCACAAGGAGAGAAGGGAACGGATATTTGAATTTAGACAGATTTATGTTCATGTGATCTATCAAATGAGAGCTTTGGACCAATATTGGATCTGTTGGGACTAAATAAGTAGCGACAAAGTTTTGTATTACATCTTGAGACCTGCCCCAATCCCGTCCCGAGATATTTGTCCTTCCAAGATCGCTGTATTGCCCGGTCTTGTAGACAGATCTCGAGACAAGAGCTCGAGGCGTCTTGTCTCGTGGCCATCACTAATTGTGTTTGTGTCACTCCTACAGAGCGGCGGAATATGTATGCACATACAGAGTTCTTTTTCTATTCCTCCTAACCCTGATTAAAATAGGCCGTTACTTAAAAGCACGGGGTGTTTGGTAGATCAAAAATAAAGTTATTTTATCTTCCGATATAAGAACTGAAGTTTATTCTAACCCCGGTATCACAGGTTGGCCTCCTATATCATAATATGGGCTTTGTGTACTAATCCAAAAGTTGGTTTCTATATACTAGTCATGTCTAAATACTTCTACTTATGGAGCGGTAAATGTGTCAAAAGTAATTTTACCAACGGTAGTAAATTATTTACCACCGGTGGTATAAGCACTGAATTTCAGTCATTGTATCTGCACGCTATCCTACATTAGTACATTTCCACCGATATAAACACCGAGTTTCGGTCTTTATGCTGCGCTATACTAAATAAGTAAATGTTCAATCATTAATGCCAAAACTTATGAAAATTTCCCACCGGTGGTGAAATACCGCCACCGATGGTGAGATTCCCCACCGGTGGACAATTTTCATATATATTGGCATTATATGGCCCCTTTTGGCCAAAAGGTCTGTTCTTTTATCATAAAAATTAGCATTATAGGGTATAAATACTGGTATTATTTTCACCACCGGTGGTAAAATAATTTACTACCGTTGGTAAAATTACTTTTGACACATTTACCGCCCCATATCTACTGAGCTATAACTGCACAGTGGGTTCGCTTTCCACTAGTAAGTGAGCAGATGTACAACCGCTTGTTACCTTGCTGGTTTCGGTACATTTATTCAAATACTGATCCAGAGGTCAATTTCTACTAATACCTGCGTCTAAGTACACCGGCAGGTAATAAGTCATGGGACGTACCCGTGACATGTCTCGATTTGGACACCGCATCTGAGTCCGAGGGAGAGGCCTTCAGCGCACAGAATTGTCGAAAATGAACGGAAATGATTGAGGACACCAGCAAATGGATTATGAGTTCGGGTTCTTCACAATTAAATGTTTAAATGGGAAAGAGTTTGGGAATTCAGTGACCACTTTTGGGAGTTGGCCCTGTAGTGAGGGGGGTAATGACTAGACTGCGAGGTATTCTTATTATTTTAATAGAATCATGAGAAGTCAACTAAATTCATTCAGAATAGTACCAAAATGACGAGAGATATCTAGGCTATAATATATATAAGATAAGAGATGAATGGAAAATTATAATAAGAGTAATAATATCTAGAGAGTAGGATCACCGGGTCTCGGCGCCAAGCACCACCTCAAAAAAACCCCGAAAAATTCAGTATCAGTACGGAATTGACCCCCCTCTGTTTTTAAGACACATCTTGACTCTTTTGGGTATACTCTCTATCAGTTTCCGAAAGTCTTCCGCTACAAACCGGTCCCACTCTTCCTGCAAAGCCTTACTAAGAGCTTCATGAGTTGTCACTCTTGGTTCTCTTTTGTTGATTCGAGACTTCATGATCCGCCACAGCTTTTCAATGGGGTTGAGGTCTGGTGACTGTGCAGGCCATGGCATTTTCTGGATATTATATTTGTTTCTGGCTGCTGAGGCAAGTTTTGACTTGTGAGGTGGTGCTCCATCCTCCATTACTATTGCCTCATGAGTGGCCCGGTACCGGCTTTGATAAAATGGTTTGAGAGCGGGCTCAATGATCAATTCCACATAGTCTTTACCTAATAAGAGTTAGCAACTACATACTAGTGAAATATATTTGTCCAGTATATACCTTTTAATCCGCCGTTTGGGAGGATGACCATAGGGCCTTTATTTCCTAGCTGAATACTTCCCCAAATCATGATTGATGTTCTACCACTCTTGAACGAAGGTAGGAGACACTCCTCACTATCGACTTCATCCACTGCCCGGTAAACCCAGCAGGTACCACCATGAAACCCACTGGCAACCTCGAACCGTGACTCATCAGTCCAAATTACTTCACCCCACTCCTCCATTGTCCAAGATTTGCGCTCCTTACACCACAACATACGCTTGAGTTTGTGTAATTTGGTGAGAAACGGCTTGCGTTTTGCACGTCGCTTATGCAGACCTCCCTGTTTCAGATATTTTCGGGCGGTCTTCATGGAAACTTTTGTGGTGATGCTTTTAGTGAGAACACCGAGGTGCATGCGCCGACTTCGCTTAGCTAAGGATATGAGATTTCTCTTCTCTCGCTTATTCAATTTTTCAGGCCTGCCCGATCGAGGTGCGCTAGCAGTATATGGGGTAAGGCTTCCTGGTTTCTGTCTATCTTTATCTCTCTTAACTATATTCCAGCAGGTACTTCTCTTCACTCCTGTTCGTTCCTCAATCTCGTTATAGGTCAAACCAACCTCGTAGAGGGTGATTACCTTCGCCCGCTGCGCTTCAGTAGTCTCCTTTCTTCTTTTATTCAATGGGGAAGGCGGTACAATCATATTGGTAGAGCTCGTAGATCCTTTAGCCACCACTAGTAGAGTCTTCGTTGCCAATTGCTTGAGTTTGTAGGTATGGAAGCACTCTTGCACCCGGTGAAGATTTTGATGGGGCCGGCTTATTCACGAATTACAAAGCGCATCCCACGACTTATTACCTGCCGGTGTACAGGTATAGAGCTACATACTATGCCCGATTCCCAATAGACTTAACCTGATGAATAGAAGAACAACCCCCTCCTTAGCTTACCAACATTTCATTTAGTCAATACATTATAACCCACTCCGCGGATAGTTACAAGAGATGACAAGGTTGCCTCTTATAGTGAAGGTGAGAGGTACTGTAAGATAATTGAAATAAAGAAAGTCGAGAGGGAGCTAAACTGCCCTGTATGACCGTTTGCTGCGGTGAGTTCCTGTGGTATCAGTGCTGGCAATGGGGCTATTTTCACTGGGTTCTCTTTATTATGGATAATTCTGACAGGCAATCGGGAGCGTCAGATTACTTGAACAATCATCAGAGTCAAAAATCAAGGTTCCCTTCCGCGTGCTTGGATTAGGGCAACTGTGATAGCACTGTATGAGAGGGAGAGTGTGGAGAGGAGGCAACGGCTGGCTAAAGTGAGAAAGGTTAATCTCAGGAATCTTAGGACTTTCCATCCCCAACCTTTACCGCATTAAAACTGGAAAGGGAATTCTCCCTAACCCGGATGCGTTTTTCAAAGAAAACCTGCTATATGCCCATATGAGCACGGGCTGCTATCTATACCAGATCTTCAACCTCCTTCAGTTCAATAGTTTCCGGAACTAGCACCACCCCCACCACACGGGAGGTTATGTGACTCACATTGTAGTACAAGAGCAGGCGGGCTAAAGAAGAGTAACCCCCCCCCCCCTCAACAACCCTTTGGGTTCCTCTCTTCTATTTCTCTTCCTGTACTGATGCGGGTGGAAATGGCCTGTAACATAGCTGTACGGCCTACTGGATATATACTCATCTGTAAGCAAGCTAGTTTGGACTACTTATATATCTAGCTCGTGGCTTGTTTCCTCCTCCTTGTGGTGCTAACAGGTCCCTCTTGGCAGCTGGGTCTGGCAAATCTTCATAGTAGGAACTATGCGTACCCGGGGATAGAGCGGTACAGCAAAGTGGGACTATGTGAGATTTTCTGTTCATCCAGAAATACGTATATATGCTCAGCGGTGTCACCGGATGTTATGATTCGCTCAAGTCCATCAGACTCGAAGACCTGCTATCACAACTGGTCTATAGGCTCGGCTCTAGTTATAAACTTGTATTCCTGTAATGGATCCAACCACGTACATACCACTTGGACAGCGGCAATGTGGTTTCGACCATACAAATCGGACACCAGAGCAGGAAACCACAGACCGGGCTCGGATACCTTGAAGGTGCAGAAAAAGCGAGTGGCTCTGGAACTACATAGCGCAGGTCAAGTAGTCATCAACCTTCATTGAGGCGGAGAGGTGGGTGTTCTCAGGCATAAGGCCGCTCTTAATAGCCCCATATGAGTCGCATTCATGACGAAGCCTACTAGTCGACATTTCATCCCATCCTAAACCTTTGGTGATAGAAGAATCTGTCGTTGGGGCCTCCTGAGAGCGACATTAGGTACCCTGTATATACGACCCAATGATATGCGTCAAGTCGCTTCACTGTCTACCACCTCATCCCGTATTCGGGCTTCTAGGCTAGTCAGTCTTACTGGAGAGAAAAAAGAGGTCCAGAAGATACCAAATACACTTCACGGCCCCTCACGGAAGTGGTGGTCTCGATACCGAGCGTGGCGGTTAGAAAACCTGGAAGGATCTAGCTTAGTATTATTATAACCTGGAGGTAAAACATGGAGCTGTATATTATGCCCCCGACCTGTAAACGATTCGCTACGATTCGATATGCCACCACCAATCGCGAGGGCCGCCTACCTATAATAGGGTGTGGGTGTGGGATATAGAGATTATACACACCACCCATATGTACGAAAAACACGGCTTATGAAGACAATGAGGACATAGAAAAGAGAGTACCAACCCCAACCCCGGCCATCATATAACAGTCACTCCCCCCGGGGGGGGGGTTCTCACCTAGAGATAGCAAGTGCGGGGTTAGAGAATCACTTCTGATGGGCGGGAGTGGGACGGAGGTTATATATAACACATAATACAGAATCTGCTGAATATCTCCAATGACGGAGAAGAGTCAGATCAAGCTCTCGGAAAGTGGCTCGTGGCACTATCACCGGCGAACAGCGGGCTGCTATTTGTCTGTGATATGGTATCGTGCGGCTCCTGCGTTGTGGTATCTGTGTCCCTAACAGATCAGCATAGGCCGGAGGCGGCTGGTCGGACTAGTCCCGACACCGACAGAATTGATGTATGCCCTCGGAGGACCAGAGAAGGATTGCCTTACCACTACGAGAGGTAGTCAATGAAGGTGGTGAAAGTAATGGAGCAGGAAGATAGCAAAGATAAAACCGAGAGAGAACGGAGTGGTGGGTGTGGGTGATGGGTGATGGGCGATGCATTTCTAACTGGATCGGACCTACATGTCTCGTGTCCATCCAGTACATGTATGTATGTATAGAGAGGCTCGCTGCTGGTTGCGGGGTGAGAAATGAAGACTCGGCTAGTGCAGACAACAGTCCACTCAGGCAGGAGGCTGGCTAGCTGGGTCGTCTGGCGGGGAGGCGTGGAAAGACATACAGGTGCATATGCATGTAGGCCAGATCTCCGTGTCCTTGCTGGCAATACGTATAGGTGAATACATGTATCTTTGCCCCGCTTCTGCATGTACATGTAGTGTCTCTTGTACATGGAGGGCATACATGTAGTGCTGAGCCGTAGGAAGTACACGGTCCAAGGGCACATGTACGTACATGTATATACGATAACACATTTCACATCTGAGTTCTTAGATATCACCCTCATAGGCGCGTTGAATTCAGGGTGAGGCACCCGTGCATCTATATATATATAGAGAGAGTACTTACAGTCCGTTCTGCAAGACTGTGATATAAATACATGTATGGCGAGGTTACAACCTATGTAGTGGGCTGAGACGCTTCTAGTGCTGTATACATTTAAAAAAAAAAAGTCTCAGGTCTGAGCAAAATACTTTTGATCACAATATGGGACATATAACAGGTTGTAAAACCTTGCATTTGTTGGTTTCTAGAGCGTTACCACAAGAAACAATGTTAAATATTTTCTCAATATCACGATATTCGGATGAGTATCAGGGTGCTGTGGTGTCGCCGAACAGGATGTTAAATGTATTTAATAGTACATGAAGTATCTGGCTGGTATTGTTCCGACCCGTACTCCCGTTCTCAGCATTTCCCGAGGACTTGAAGTATTGAGTTGATTACGTGGGGGATGCGGTTTTAAAAGACCCCATGGAAGCATTTTTCTTTTTTTATTATATTCAAAGACAACGAATTTCATCTGGGCGGAGTTCCGGGGGAGTTGTTATTACAAAAACTATCGGCTCTAGATTATTAATTAAAAACAATCCTCGACAGACTCCTACTCGGACATTTGCATATGAGAGTAAGGGCAACCTCATATGGCAAGAAACTTAAGGACAGCAGAAAGGAGTTGATCGAAGTTTTAATGAAGTGACATTGTTTTTATTTTCTTCCTATTTTGAAGATGGTGGTGGATGGAGGGACGTTCTGGGGAAAAAGGTTTGCATTAATTATATGAAGTGAGAAGAGGGGGCGAGGTGAGAGGGAGGAGAGTGAGTGCCATAGTCTCTGAGCTGCATGCTCGTTATGATGTAATCAATCAATCAATCAATCTGTGGAAACGGTTCATGTAACGGCGGCACGAAAGAGGCGAGAGAAATGAGGAGGAAGAGGAAGAAAAGAGAGAAGGCAGGCTGGGTCGACGTCGGGCAGACTAAGGGATGGTGCAGGGCATGAGGAAGAAGGGACATAACTCAAAATTGTTTAAAGCTGGGAAAAGGGACTAAATTGTTATGTTTGGTGATTTCGATATTTTGTTGTTTCATAGATATGTATTCTTTTCCATGTCTGTGAGAGGTGGAGGAAGCTGTAGGTAGTTCTGAGAAGTGCGATATTGCCATAGACGAAAGTCTGCATACAATTAGTGAATTAACCAAAAAAAAAATCAATGAATCAATCAAAACAACCCGAGTACGCAATTGATGAATCAAATAAAAAAAAAAGTCCCCGAGTGAGTCATCATGACTCACCAAACAGTAGGGTTAGGGTTTGTCACTGCTTAATCTCAAATTGATTAAATTCATTTAGCGCCCGTTTGGAGAGATCGCAGTTTAGAAACTAGGTCAAGGACTCGTTTGAATTCGACTTACAAACAGAGTTTTGTAAGATCATGATCTAGGGTGCATCATGATCTGCCCAAACGATTATTTATGGTTCTCTACTACAAATCTTGCGAATCCAAACACGTGTTGTATGTGGTGGGTAATGTGGTGGTAATAGTGTAGTTGCCCGGATTGTAGTCAGGGAGATTCTAGTTTTTCTAAATTATCTAGATCATGATCCTAGTACTCAATCCAAGCAGCGGGAGAGGGAGTAAAAAAAAAAAAAAAAAACTCGAGATCGCATTTCCAGACAAAACCAGCTCAATCACGTTTGAATCCGGATCCAAACGGGTTCGAAGCAACAGTCCCGTTAGCAATTGGCAAACTGAGAAATTTTAAACGGAGTTTTGGTTGCGAAACATAAATACCAGTTGGTGATTTTGATACAAAGTTTTGGGGAGGATGTGCATTGTAACGTGGAAAAGGGGGTCAGAACTACTTCTTCAAAACTCCGTTAAAATTATTGATTGCTTGATTGGTTGATAATTCATTCCGTTCAAGTTATCCAGGCTACACTGACAAGTGGTTTGTCAAACATGTCAGCTTTTCTCATAACGTTTGCAATTTTAACGAAGTTTTACCCCTGCTAACCTCCGTTTAGGCCGTTGCCGAACAGCCCTTATTATTTTCAGTCTTGAGGCTATGAGGATATTCAACCACTAGCAGCAGAGAAAACAAAACAAAAACATAAAAGTAATACTATAAGGATAGAAATTCGGCTAATCTTACAACGGGACTTGCCTCTTTCGAATTAAACAAGACCGAATGGCACTGTCAAACCTATTGATCAAACCTTAGGGTAAGGGAGTATCAATCAAGAGAGATAGTAATATGAGCTGCTGACCTCGATTCCCACAAATATTGCATAGCAATATTATTAACCTTTTTCAACCCCCTCGCTTTCTGCTCCTTTCGCATATAAATGTATTGATTTCGTATTCCCCTCAATTGTGCCCGCGCATCCTTGTAACCAGCTTCAAGACATGATTTCTCTCTTCCTGATTAATGAGAGGACCAAATACTCTTGCATTGTATCCGGAGAATATCTCGTTTTCGTTCCCTCCAAAATCCAATTCGCGATCGGCTGAATTCAAGAATATGATGACAAGCAACGATTTCATCGCTTTCTGAAGTCTTGGCCCAAACATACCCCAACGATCAAGTGCACTACTTGGTTCCGAGTTTGGAACAAGTTTGCAAATACTGTAGATTTCTGCAGCCTTGAAGGCAACCACAACGATTCCGGAGAGTGTTTTGATGCGGATGCCCCATTTTCGGTAGAAAGCTGGGCATTTGCGGAGACGGGTCCAACAAAGTACAAGTTGAAGAATGAACTCCAGGGACTCGCAAAGCACAATAATTGCAATTACAGCTTTGGGTATGTTGATATTCCCTGGGTAACAGACGAAGACCTCAACAAAAAAAGAGATCAGGAATAATGGAAGTGCTACCAGCAGAAATTCCCAGCCACTCATGCGCGCCAAGAAGAACCTGAAGTACAAATCGTACCAAATGGTCGATTTAAGGTCCTTAGTCTTCTGTGTGTTCATGGCGGCGAATAGTCGATCGAGGTTCTTAAACAATATAGCCATTTGAACTGAGCCTGGATTCACCCGATATTTATCAAATGATTGAGTGGCATCAGTCAAGTACTTTTCTATGAGTCTCTGAGGTGGAGCTTCCTTTCTAGGATCACGCGGCATCCATGAATTCATGAATGAATGGTGGTAGTGTCGGATGGTAGGCTTGAGATACGGCGGGGGCGGGAGGGGTATATGAATTCGAGATGAGGGTAACAATCTGCAGCATATATTTTTACTAGGTTGAGTGGCGGCGGTGGCTGACCGATTGAAAACAAGATGATAGAGATACGGACTTCGAGAGCAGACTTAAATCACAAACTGTTCCTCTTAAAATCTGATGACGGATAGATATTAGCCAGTCTTTCCGGCTTCGGGAACTGGCTGGGTGAAGAAGGAATGTGCTGAATGTTGGGAGATGTCAGCTGCCGATACAGTTAGCAATCATTATCCGCGGCTGGGAAAGAGGGTGTTATGGTGATGAAAGGAGGGCTCAAAGAAACAGATCACTAACCGTGGGGGGTAGCCTCACAGCAACGGGTATCGAATGGGCTGCGCTGTGAATAAGACTGTCAGGGAAATATCAGGTTGACATGGGCACGATAAAGCTAGCCCGTGATCACGTATGATAATCTGATGATACCTGTCGCAGTGAGAGTGGTTCTTGAAGATGGCTAACTACATACTCAAAGATTGAAGAATTGTTGGCAAGGAGAGAAAAGAAAGGAGCGGGACCAGATGAATAGCACCCCGAAAATACACCTACAATGCACACAGTAGTTAGAGGTATGGTCAGTTTTCAAGCGGCACTCCTCGCTAAAGGGTGCTACCACTACGTACATCCATGTGATGGGAGATATGGATACATAGCAAATTAAGAGCAGATTCTGTAGTTCAGATGCATAGATGTACTGCATAGTGCTGCTGATTAATTCGGCGAGACCCTCAATTATCGCTATCGAGATGACCGACATTCAAAAATGGGCCACTCTTTGGTTACTTGCGTGTTCGCCAGTCAATTCAGTGAGATGGCAAACAAACATGTACTAGATACATGTATATGAATATACTACATGTACCCCTGGGGCTGGCTAGATAAAGGTGTCGGATGGTTGAAGATTGTCGAAGGGTCCAGAAATACGCATCTGATATTATGCCTGGGTTGATACTGTATTACCACTGATATATTGGGAGTATATTACAGTAAACATACATGTATGTTTAATGTGCGACCAAACTCACCTGGAGTGAGCAGGCGAACTGCTGATAGGGGATGGGTACGAGGCTAATGTTAAGTAAGTGTACAGTACCAAAAAAAGAAGATATAATAGGTACTGTACCAATACGGAATTGTGCAAAACCTCCGAATTAAATCGGAATCCTAACTATTATACCGTAGCAATACCGTAACAATACCGTAACCCTATGATATTTTGCCAGATATTGTACTGGATCCACCCGCTTTTTTAGTACTATATGTATGATACGCTGCGGCGGGAGTAATACACAGCTGCAGATCAGTACATCATGGATGTTTATGTAAAGCTAAAAAATGCTTAATTAATAGCACCAAAAAATACAGTGTTTAAATGACATAACGACTTAGTCAGGGCCGTCAATGTGGGTTTTGTGAAATACATTCGTAATCCCTCCGTTCCGGAGGCGTCATGATCGCATGGTGGAATACCGGTACTCCTTACTTTATTTGAATGTGCCCCCATAGGACTTGGGACGTGGATATCTTGTGATAAGTCATTTTCGAATGTGTTAAGGTTCGTGCCTTTCGCCAAACATGCTAATCCTGGTGCTGACAGAGAAGTATTCAATACATGTACAGAGTCCTTTGACAGAAGTCCTCGTTGTCAACCTAAAACACACCATTTTCAAACCTTTCCTCCATCACTAATTTTTCAGAGATTAACTTAGAGTCTTAGCTAATAGAAATATAAAGTAGGAAGAATCATTTATTAAGCTTGTTTTGTAAGAATATCAATTTTTGCATGAGCTGTAGCGAACAATCCTGAAATCCGTGCCAAGACCTCAACTTTGTATGGGGCTTGGCAAAGATCTCAAATTCTTAGATTTATAGCTAAGTATGCAGCTCCTTTGGTAATTGTCGCACAAACATAGAATCTATCATTTGGACTACTTATATATAAACATAACCATCTATATCTACAATATCAAACATTTAGGTGCTTCATTGTGTTGTTATGTTTTGGTGAATTTTGATTGCCTTTCGAGCGGCAACGATGAATTATGTAATGCCGTACGCTGGGTATTAGGCCGGCTTGGTACTGGAATTATATACAGGAGCTTATCACATGTAGCTCTTTGATTGAATGGGAAGGAGTAAGAGCATCACCCGCTCTGGATACTGCCCTTTCGACTGTACACTTAAAGACCTGGCCCAGAACTAAACCCACTATGAAACCAAGTCTTACACTGAGCCACGCTTAGACACTAGTTATTTACAGAGTGTGCTACTCAGAGTGTGTTTCTGTGGAGTATTTGGCGGAGCCTAAATTGACATGAGTACATTCATCTTTCTAGGTTTAGGGATCTAGAGATCCTTATTGCCTTAAACTGATCTATGGGCTATGATACGAAAGTCAGCATCCGTCACTCGCCCTAAGACTCGGATTCAGTCAGCGAATGTGCCTATCACTAAGCTATCTCGCTATGAACAGAATCTTTGTAGGTTTTGATCGATGATCTGATTAAGTATAGATATATGCCGCAGGCAACAGGTGTTTTCAAGGTGGTTTTTAAATCAAATAAGTGTAAGAATTACCCACCTTCTCCGGACTACCTTTCTTTCCCGTAGGCCACCGCCGTAATGCCTACCAGTATGCATGCGGCTGAGCTCGTCCCTAGACTTTTCAAACAGCCAGCCCATCTCATCGAGGACTCGCAAAAATTCCCCCTGTCTTCCCCTCAACCACTTCTTAATCAATCCGATTTGCATTTGGAATCTAGGGTCCTCGATAGCAGTAAAATGCGCATTTAATACCGTGCCACCAATTGCTCGGGAAGTTACTTTTATAAGCTCAAACAGCTCTCTGTGCAATACACCGTAAGTCAAGTTGAGATATACTATGGCCTCAAAGATAGCACGAAGTTTGACAAGCGCACTGCCTTTGTCCGACTCCCTAGGAAGCGGTTCTGGCCATGCCTTGGGTTCATCTCGTCTTAGGGCAGCATCTACACTTGGGGGAAGGTAACCGATGGATCCTGGTAGACCGGAGGGAAATGATCTTTGATTATTAGGACAGAAATATCAACCAGCTTACTATACGACGTGGAGAGCTGCCGGAGGGTAGAATCACAGGATCTTTGAACCAGAGAGCGTCGCTGGGACTGACGCCATAGATGGGATTCCTGATAGCCGAGTAAATGCCTAGGCTGCAAGGCGCGTCGAATTAGACTATGAAAGGTTCATATGCGTAACCAGATACATGAGCTTCGATGGTGAAGCCCGGTAGCCAATGACTGAAGTAACAAATGGCAGGGGAAAATAGCTAACCTTCCCTACCAGATGTAGAGATGAGGCAGGGAGGGAGCATTTAACGTACCAGAGTGGTATGATATCGCAAGGTGGGAGACGGTATTCATCTACGTCTTCTTCTTCCATTATTTCAACTACAGAGTCCTCCCCCGGTAGTAGAACTCCCCTGTCGGTGGTGAAGTGTGGAGACAGTGTTGAGTCTGAGGACGTTGGGTATATCACAGTGTTCAAGTCTGAATCCTGATAAACTACTGTCTCTAGGGGCATCGTGTGGGGTATTCACCCGGAGCTGATAATTGTTCAGATGACCACACCAAAATCGGGATGTTAGTAAATTATAGCGAGAAGAAAGACGTGGCGAGTGGAGAGGATAATAGCGGTGAGGAAGTGAAGAGGATGATGTAATGACGTGTGTCCTTCCTGGGCCCGGGTTAGGGATTGACATAAGCGGTGATTTCGGAGAATGTTCCACCACTAGGCTAGCTAGGGCCACCTACATGTCTAATACTCGCGCTACCGGATTGAAGCCGCTCATACAAAAAATACAATTGATCTAAAGACTACAAAAGGTCGAGCTCTTATTGGCTGCCAGATCACTCGCCACAGTTCTTTAGGCGGCTTCAAACCGGCCGCGCGAGTATGTATACTTGCCGGATTTTTTATCCTGTCCGATTCCCTAATGTATTGAGACAGCGCCAAGGCTGCTTCGCAACAGCCTGAACCTCATGGCCGTCTTCACGGGTAAGGACTCAAATGGATCGTACTCCACCAATTCTTAATAGATTTCCCCTCAAAGTAGGTCAGAATGGCCGTAGAGATGAGTAGAATACAGATATCTCAGGAAAGTTGGTTCCTCCGCCTTTAAGAACACATTCAGCCGTGATATGAGGTAGCGATTTCACTTCATCATTGATCCTATCGATGCTCAACTCCTCCCACATCTCTCTTAATGCCTTGTTCATTCCATTCACAGTAGCAACATCATTTCTTTTATCTATTTCCCTTCTCATCCAATTCCATATATGTTCAATAGGGTTAAAATCCGGAGATCTAGAGGGCCAATTGGCCTTCTTTATACCTTCTTTTTCCCTCTCCCCATTGGTATCACCTACCTTATATGCCGGTGCATTATCCTCCAAGACAGTATTGAGATCTATCTCGGTGAGTTTTCTACACTCTGGCCACAAAATAGGTTTAGCAACATGCTTGACATATCTCCAAGCATCTTTGCCGCCTTTCCTCCCCTCACTCCTATTTATCTCCCAATCTTTAGTTTTGTATTTCTTTGCTCCGTAGGTCTGCAGACTCCTGTGCTTCCTTCCCTCTTTCTGTATCCTAGACATGACACGGGCCCTTATAATCACATCCAATCGTTCCGCAGAAGATAATGTTCTGACCTTGATCAGTTTTACAGCCCAGACAGTCAGGGTTCCAATTATCCTTCCGAGTCTTCTCCCTCCATATGTGATGCGGTCCTCATGACACTCCCACAGTAATTTCCATCTCATCTGTCCACCTCTAATGAGATCATTCTTCGTCAGGTTCCCAGTTCAAGTTTGATTTCGCAAATTTAAGTCTTGCAGTCCTTGCATCTTTACTGATAGCAGGTTTTTTTGTTTCCTTATAACACCCTAAGCCCTGCTCATGCAATGCTTTATTGATGGTCGAGATATATACATTTGAAACCCCGTACTCATTCCGCAATTCCTAGACAGTCATGCGGCGTGTATCTCTATTCTTGTTCACTAAATGAAAAGGGTTTTTTTCTGTTCTTCAGTCAATATCTTGGGCCGGCCAGGCCTTGCCTTTGATACAAGGGCTTGAGGTGTCATGAGCTTTGGGAGGTCGCAAGTCTCAATCCCAGAACCCTTCGCTCTATCCATAATACGCTTATAAACTCTACCACAAGAATTTTCCTTGATATTGAGCTCCTTAGCGATAGCTCAAAAAGAGAGCGCGCTGGAGCCGTAATGCTTTGCCATTATACGAGCTCTTCTCCCTATATCAATCTCCTTCGAATTTGGCCGTTTTTCCTTTTTGTCACCTGACGTGCCCGACCCGGGTTCTACAGATTCAAGTTTGAAAGTATGTCTATTAAGTGTTTAATACTATTCCATGAACCTATTATGCTATCGCAACACTTACATTATCTTTATAAATATTAGTATAGGTGTTTGTCGTTATCAATTCGTTGATATATCAGCCCCGCGGACGTTGAGTAATGATGGTGAGGTTCAGGCCGTTGCCCAACGTTTCCAATAGGGAATCGGACAGGGTAAACAATCTGGCAGGTTGTACTGCCCTTAATTCTTTCGCAGGTTGAAGGCTTCTGATTGGTCGAGAGAGGAAACCCTGACCCTGCATAGCAACTATGCTACTCACCTCAAATACCGCCCCCCAACGGGGTAACTAATCCTACCCCTAAATTTAAACGGTATGTCAAATTCGTGAAGGTTTTTTTTTTCTTTAACTGTGCAGACTGAATAAACCTTTAAAATTATACTAGGTGATGTTGAGCTATTATCAACGGGGTACGGAGAGGTAAATCATTAAATTATATTAGTTAGTTAGGGTTGAAAGTGGGTTACAATGTTTTTAACCAGGGTAATTTTGGTTCGGGGGGCTTCAATCTCAGCTAGAAGTACGGTTTATGAGCCATTTCTCAAAGTTAGAGACAAATAGTACGGGGCTAGGGCTGAATCTTCATGGTTAGGAAGGGAAGAATAGATGATATGCGACGAAATAATCATTTCCCCCTCACATCAATGTCCACCATGAACGGAATTATACCAGCACCATGGGGTAGGGTTCGACTAAGGCCAAACCTAGATAATTGGATCGAACGGTCCTGCTTGATCTATTAATGATGTTGCTCATGCATTGAGCATAATCTACTGAAGGTTGGACGGGGTATTTCGTTTGCATCCATGCATGCGGCCTTGTAGTCATGAGTAATCACTCGTGTGTCAATGACTGAAAAACAAGTTTTCTTTTTTTGTCTAATCCTGCGGCGGGAGGCTTGGTCGCAGTGCGGGGTTGATGTGGTTCGGAGAGCGGCTCATGATAAGAGTTACTTAGTAATAGCCTAGCCCGGTTTGGGAGGGGATAATATGAGTGAGGTATTGCGCTTGCCTACCTACTTAGTCTTGACTCGCATTTTTGACGGACTTGTCAATAGGTTTGGTTATATAGACAAGGTAATTGTCAAGTTTTTATATAGGCTACGCCGACGCTACTCCGCGCTCATGAGAAATACTCGCTGTGCTCCGACTATTAGCTAGGCCTAGGTCAGCTCTCGTTGCAACTTTGCCTCTGCTTTGTGACGACGAGTTATATAACAATTCGAACCCGCTCTCTTAGTCTCTCATAAATTATCCGATCTTTTGCTTGCGAGAAGAGCCCTTAAAGTTGTTAAATTCCTTGACTTAATTGTTCCTAAACCTATTCGACTCTCTGCCACGCTCCAACAGTGTGCCTTCACATTTTTTTGCATCCTGCTCTGAACATCGAGTCTACTGTCGGCATCTGAAGGAAGCCCCCAGTTACAATTCCGACTATGTTCAACACTTTTGTGCTTCTCGGGCCTTCAACGCACCCAGTAGCATGATTACTCCTAAAATACCTCTACTCTTCTGGAGTAGTTTCTTTCCATGGATGACACCGGGAAGCAGTTGAATTTGACCGACGTGTAAGGCCTCTTCTCCGTTTAACCTTGTTTCTTTTGTCATAGAATTCTGTGGTGTACTGATTTGTTGAGTCTGGAATGTAGCGCAACTGATCATCTCTCCAGAACAGTTTGAAAACACCTAACCAATCCAATTCACCTGGTAGATTTATAAGCGTATGTACTAGCGGCTGAGATGTTACTGACGAATAAATGCGGGCAAGCGCGCATGATTGATAATAGGAGTCCAGGGGGACTCTTGACTTCTCAACGGCTTAGTTTTCTCTTTCACAACATGGCTCTCGACGAATACCTGAGCGTAAGCGGATATGAGGATAGACTCAAACGGACATGAGAGAGGACTCAAGCGGGTGCGGGGGCGGACTGAAATGACACAGCTGAAGCTACCTACAGCAATCGACAGCTCTTTGTTGCCAAGCAGCCGAGCCTGCAGAGCATCATATTCTGAGCAGGTCTCGGCCTACCAGGCGATACAAAATTTGTCATACATACATCATGAGCGTATGTACGACACATTTTGGATACATCAATTGGCGTGGTAGAGTGAAGCTATCAGACTGCGCCAATCCACGTTGTGTATCATATTCTTCTTTGACAGCGGGAATAGCTTAAGGAATATGGTGGGCTGTGGCCTTGCATTGCAGTAACTCTTCAGGCTTGATAGCGCACTGAGCCGGACTAATTTAGAATTCCAATTACGGTACCACTAAATCTCGAGTTATTCGGGGGGTTGCCAAGTCAAAAAGCTGAGAATCCTGACCTTTAGAGGAGCGACCTTCAAGAAAACAGCCCTCTTTTACAGGATCTAAACTAAATGTAGGTTAGCAGGTGACCTTGGCAACCTCCCGAATAACTCGAGATTTTGCGGTATGCGTGCCCGCGACCAGATCTCAATAACCCTCTATGGATAGCCCAAAAGGATTCTAAAAACTTACCAGAGGAAGTATCTAATCCTAACTTAAAACGAATGTCAGTCTGCAGTCTCTTGCAACTGTTATTAGTTCCAGAAGGTAATATTTCCACTTCTACCGGCGGTTTGAGCTGACGATGCAACAGATTTGCTGCCCGTATATTGGCATAGGTAAAAAGGGAACATAATCTATCTACAAAACCAGTCTTTAACTGCCAACTGGGTAGCTACACTATTTGGGTCAATTGACATAGCCTTGTAAGGAGAAAAGCTGGTCTGAAATGCGGGCTACCTTTCTTGCACTGCCTGGGAGGAATGTACCGTACTCTACATTTTAAGGGTGTCTTGGTGTGTTTCCGCTCGGATGGAACAGGCAAGCTGCAAGGCCCCATGAAAGGTAGGACGGCAGTACGTTGTATTTTAGCTAAAGTACAAGAAAAATAATGGACAGGAAGGAGGTGATGTCGAAGACATGACTGTAATACACTCATGTGAGCTCCATTTACACTAAGGCCGGCCGCCCACTACTGACTGTGCTAATGACCGACAGTTCAACAATATGTTCTACCCGATCTGCGGGTGCTACCTATCCGCTGGACCTATTATAAGGTACTAGTTCATACGATATAGAATACTATTATGAGGTTAATAAAGAGTGGTTGACCTTGGAGATACTAGTTAGTATCATACATCCGTTTGGCATCTCCATACAACGTACGCAGAATAGTATTAGGTTCTTATACAGTGAGTGCCACAACACCCAAAGTAATGTTAGTAACGTATGTGTATGAGCTAATACAAGATGTGCCCAAGCAAAACCCAGTAACCAAGCCAGCCAAGGGCTAGGCAAAGGCTCAACCCCAGCCCGATGTGCGGAACCTTAGATGTGAGCAGTACAATGTTCATAACTACGCAAGCCGCAATAGTTGCTGTGCCCCATTAGCTAAGTCCGAAATTTGAGTTGAACGGAATGCCCGTTCAGCGGACCTCTGAAATATGCAAACTGGCATTCAGTCATGATACCCATCTGGCGAACATCCGGTGAATAGGTAACATCCGCCAATGAAAGAAAACAAAATCCATCGACAGGGTCCAACTGTTTTAACAGAGTACCTGATGACTGGAGTCTGGAGGGGAGCTATTATGCGAGCTTGCTCGAGGGAACGCGCTATTCATCATAATATGGGCCTTCTGAAATGATCGCCCTATCCATCAATCTTCACAAATTTTGCGCGCACTTGGCCAAATCGACGTCTTGGTCAACAGATCAGAACATCAGCTGGAAATGAGTTTCAACGCCCAACGATGTTCGAGAAGGTTCAGACCAAATTGAGGGTTTGGTGGAGGTTGAGTAGTTCGCAAGTCGGTTTGTTTATGATTGATTTTTCGCGGTATGTCATTTTGTGGCATATTTCTTGGGGCGAGCGGTAAACCCACCACTACTTGGACCTACGTTCTTTGTGGTTTCCGATCATTACCGGGACACCGGTCACATAGTCATAGCCGAGATATCGCTTGAACCCCCATTGAAGGGATAAACATTTGAAGTCGGGGATGACCGAGGCCAAGATCATTGTCCCTGCTAGGGTTTGAGATTCAACCCAACCAGAGAGTACGTGCTGTGATCATGGCATATATTGCAATTAACTGGGACTCTTGAGGAAGTATCCACTCCACCCAGGAAACTTGCGTTCAAGGGGCCGATTTGAGGATACCCGTCCCGACCTGAAAGTCTAGCTAGATTCAAAGGTTGGAAGTGTGTGTAATGGGTTTTTTTTTTATATCAGAGTTTCATTTATTTCTGGGTACAAGAATATCGCATGGAGCCAAGGCTATGGTGTGAACAACACCCCTCCCCAACCTTACCGCTGAAAGAAAGTAAACAAAGGGAAGATATGAACATGAAGAAATAACTCAAAAGAAATCCTGACATTCCCTCCGCAGAAAAGCAAACTTAGAAATTCGGTCATCCTGTTCCTTGGGCCTTATACTTTCTTACCAGCTATGCATATTTTATGTCAGGACATAGGAAAAAAAAGAGGGGGACAATTTGGTTGTAATAGTTGTAGTTTTTACCGGCCTTGCAGTGTACCGCTGTTTATGTTGTAGAGGGGTCCGAGCTTGATGGGATCGAGGTGAGGTCAGAGTCGGATGAGAGATCGTATAGTGGAGATTTGGGGGGGCCATCCGGGAGGGGGAACACTGTCTTGGTGGCTCTGATATATGAGGAGAGGGCTGCAAGGGAGGTAGCAGGTAACCGCTGGTTGAGGTCTTCAAGTGATGTAGCGAATAGTAGTTGGGCGGCCCTTTGGGGGGCACGTTCAGGGCAGTAGAAGATGGCATACTCAAAGTCTTGGTCTTCGAAGAGGCATCTGGGGCAGGTAGAGGGGTGGTCTGGACATATTCATGAGGGGAGGGTGGCGAGGTAGCTTTTGTGATCGCGAATCTTGCATATATGGCCTCCGATGAAGCGATGTAGGGAGAGGTGGGAGTGGAGTGGAGTGTTGATCTCGAAGATGTAGTAGTCTGGGAGGGGGCTATTTCGCCAGAGCTGGAAGGTGTCTTTCTTAATGGACAGCCCTAAGCTTGAGTGGATGGTGTTGAGGTCCTAGCTGAATGTAGGGGAGTTAGTGAGAAGGGAGTTGCAAAGGTCATCGATGTGGAGACGGGCTACACCTCTTCTACTGGAGTTCCAGTTGACGGGTGAGTTGAGTTTTCCGCGCAGGAGGTGTCGGTGAGAGGGTTCCCTGTAGTTGGAGAAAGTGTGAAAGATTTCCGGGATGCGTGAAGTAATGGTATTGTAGGATGGTGATGCGGCTTGAATTCAGGTGGTGTATCGTAAGCGGAGGGAGGGAATGTATAAAGCGAGAGGCGGGAAGAATGCCTCTGCCTGTAGTACTATGAGTGGTGTGGATCTGAAAAAGTTCGTTACCATCTCGAGGAAGAAGTGCCAGGTGGTTTCAAGGCATTTAAGGGCTCGTGACGTAGGTATGAGAACTGATGCGCCGTAGGTGAGTATTGGGAGTATGGCCATGACTGCTAGTCTTCGGCAGTTGAGTGGTTTGAGGCCCTTGCCTGCTGAGGCGAACCCTCATATGATTGCGAAGGAAGCTTGGGCAGAGGAGCATATTTTGGAAAAGTGGTTGAAGGTGTTGAAGTTGTCAGTGAGTTGGAGTCTGAGCTATCTGATTTCTCGCTTGGGAGGGAGGGGGAGGCGGTTGAGGGTGATAGGAAGGTTTAAGAGGGTGCCTCTACCTGTGCTGGTGCGCCAGTGGATCAGGTCCATCTTGGAGAGTGAGAAGTGGATGTTTCGGGTGGAGCCTATAGTTGTTGCATCAACAAACCTGCAGCCTTCACCAGACGCCCGAGGCGCTCAGGGCACTCAGGGCGCTCGGTACATAAACTACCTCTCCAGAGATACGGCAAGTGCTCCTGGCGCAGTCTGGCGCGCATCTTTCCGCCCCGGCGCATCCTAGTTCGCCCCGGCATACACTAGCCCTCCGACCCCGCCTGGGCACTGAGCGCGAGCGCCCGGCGCTACCCCGACGCTAGTCCCCTCGCCTGAGAGCGCCAGTTGGGCGCTCGTATCTCCTGACTGCTCCTGGAGCACTCCTGACTGCTCCTGGAGCACCCCCGCAGCTCCTGGAATACTCTGACTGCTCCTGGAGCCTTCCTGACTGCTCCTGGAGCACTCCCGCAGCTCCTGGAGTACTCCGACTGCTCCAGCGGTGCCTGGGATCGGGTCTTTGAACCTGGCGCACCCCCGACGCCCTTTTCTCTCCAGGCATACCCTTACGATCTCTACTGTTTACAGAGCACTCGAGACTGTTTACAGACCACTCGAGACTGTTTACAGAGCACTCAAGACTGTGATCCCCTGTCTATTACTAAATACTAACGACAATACCTCCTTGAACTCCCTTACTGGATATAATACAAAATATCAATCGGAACAAATCTCCAGCTATCCCCGACGCACTCGGGAGTGTTCTCCCCACGCATTTGCGAGTATTCTCCCAAAGCACTCGCGAGTGTTCTAGACATCTTCCTCCCCGCCCCCTTCGCAATCCCCCGCTACTGGTAGTTCTTGCTCCTCTTCTTCCTCCTCTCCCTCCTCTTCACTATCAATGCCGCGAAGTTGGGCATGAATCACCTCGTCCTGGCCGTTGTCAGAACTTGAAGGACCTCCTGGAGCACCCCTGAGTGCTCTCCGAGTATCTCAGAATGCGGCAAGATCCGCAGCCAAAGCTTCATCGTCCGCTCTAAACCCATCCTCCGGTATCACCTCAATCGTTACACCCTTCTTTTCTCGTATCTATCAAGGTAAGTATTTAGAATAGAACACCCATTGCCTGCATACTAGCATACCTTTTCTCGAAGGTTATCCTTGATTACCTCCAAAGTTGCCTCCTAATTCTGTCTACTCCTCCCCTTCCATGTGTTACTCATCCTGTTGAACGTTTCTACTCGAGTGGTGATGTCAGCTCGGCAATTCAGTATAGCTCTGAAAGCATCCGTCACTGCTCTCAAAGCACTTGGGAGTCCGCAGAGTTCTGAGAGCATCCGTCACTGCTCCCAAAGCACCCGTCATACCAGTGAGGGCATTGGGCAATACTTACTAACAACGCTCTCATTCTGCGACTGAAAATGATCAGGCTTAACATAAGTCCCTGTCGACCACACCCGAATGCCGTGCCAGATCGCCGTCGATATCAAGCAAATAGGTGTAGGGGTTATCCGCTCTAGGAATTCGGGGTCCCTAACCCCTCGCATCCTGACGCCATCAAAGTATTTAAAATACAATATATCGACAATTTCCGGGGCAAGGAAGCGCAGTCGGTAGGTCTAGTATCTGTTAGCAGCTTTCCCGAGTGCTCTCTGAGCATTTCCGGGTGCTATGTGGGCATTCCAGGTGCTCTCTGGCCATTGATCATACCTCGTAATGCTGCTGGGGGCTCAAGAAACGATCATTCTTCAAAAGATATTCGACTTGAGCCGCCCTTGCCTCAGGCCCCACAAGATTTCCAAGCCCGTATATCGTAGAGTCCACCAGGCTCCCTTTCACCTCGTGCATCAAGTGGGAATGGACACGGGAGTGCAGACTTCTGACCTATCGTTCTCAATTATGCTTCCAGAGCACTCGTAATCGTTTCAGGGGCACTCACCTGTTTAATTACGACCTCATCAAAGTCTACTCTACACCCCACTCGGCGGCTTGCAGTTGCCCACATGCTCACTACCAGTATCGAAAGTCTTGCTGCAGGTGGAAACGGCTCATGTACAAGCGTATGCTCCCCGATTAATATGCTGCACTCTTTCTCAATCCTCTGTGCTTGCATTGAGAGTACATTTGCACTCCTCGAGTTGGGTAACAAAGACCTCTGAGTCAATTGGCTCGAAAGAATGTCGCCAGTGTTCTCAAAGACGTCGTGAGTGCTCTCTGGAATATGAACCTCGCGTTCCGCCATCAGAGCATTCTCGTTCTCCCTGGATGAGGGAAGATAGTCGATTTCGTAGACTCCTTGCGATCGAATTTGGCTGTGAGGTTGGGCTGAAGGAATTTGAGGGCTTGAAGGAATCCGAGGACTGCTCACAGAGCTCTCGCCAATTCCGTCAATAGGAGGTGAAGAACGATATGGCCGCTAAGTAGGTGAGGACTCCCCGTATCGAGAGCGCATTGAGGAAAGATCGATATGGCGCGTCGAAGAGCTGTAATCATGATAATAAACAGGTTCAGAAGGCCTAGACTGTGTAGGTATTGGCGGTGCTCTCTGGGATGCCGGGAGTGGTCTCTGAGATGCATTTTGGCTTGGTGCCGAAGTGGGTGCTCTCTGGGATGCCGGCAGTGCTCTCTGGGATGCCGGGAGTGCTCTCTGAGATGCATTCTCACTGGGTTCCGAAATGGGTGCTGCTCTACCCTGACCTTGTTTCCGGATTACATTTGTGCCCAGTCGAGCTCCCCTCTGAACCGTTAGCCTCCGAGTCTATTGAATAAAACCAATGAAATGAGCAGAATAGAGTCAAACCTATATCAAGTCCACTGACACGTCGGAGGAAGCAATTACCTCCGCTACTGCGCCAGTTGCTTTCCTCCGAGCATTGCCCAGTGCTTTGGCAGTAGTCGGCGGAGCTGTGCGAGGTCTCTTTCCGACAGTCTGAGACCTCTGAGTGGAGGCTTGAGGTTCATCCTCCGGTTCATCCTCATTCTCCTCAGAACTCTCGGACTCTTTCTCTGGAGAATCATCATACTCTGAGTGGCTGGTATCAACTATTTCCTCCACCTCTGACGCCTCTATTACTTGAGCCTGCTCCTGCGCTTCAACAAGGTCAGTATGGTCGCCGGGGAGATGAAATTCTACCCTTCTAGGACTGCTTCTTCCAGTGGGAGTTTCGGAAGAACGGAGAATGCCTTTACGAGCTATTTGGGCGGCGGTGGTCGATTGACTACTCCGAGTGCGGGCTGGCAGTGGAGTCAATGGTCGGCAAGGTATCTCAGACTCGTCAGTCAGTAAATCTTCATGTTCTTCAGGTCGTCTTGGGAGTCGTGGGTGCTTTGGGGCAAGAGGTGCTGAACCGGAGGAGCGCTTAGTGGGATCCATTCTGATGGCTAGCAGGAATATCCTCAGTGCTCTAGGAGCACTCGCGGTATCTTTGATTAGAAATCAATTCTTGGCGAGAAAATTTGCGCCGCTAATCAAGAAGAATTTGCACGGCTAATCCTCCTACGGCAGGGATCCGCTCAACCGCAACATTTGTAATCACTCGTTTTACTGCACTTTGCACTTTCTGAAGCAATACCGAGTGCTCTGAGAGCAATCTAGGAGTTTGAGTCGACTCTGAAATAAAAGCAATGCAATTACGACACGGAATAATCTAATCTCATCTAATCTCATCTAATCTCATCTAATACGACAAAACACATCCATTGATATATGCTCGCAAGATAAAGGAAATCCAAAACATCAAATCGTACAGCATGTCCATCTCAGTAGCACTCGCGAGTGCTCAGAGAGCACTCCATACTGCTATTCAAAAACCCATCAATTCATATATGCTCGCAAGACAAAGGAAATCCAAAACATAAAATCGTACCGCACTTCCTCCATCTCAGTAGCAGTCGCGAGTGCTCGGAGAGCAATCTGTACAGATTTTCAAAGGTTAGTAGTGAGAAATCCGCAGGAATAGTGGCGAGAGACTATACCAAAGGAGACTAATGATGCCCACCACCATCACCACCACCACCGCCTCCACCGCCTCCAGCTGGCCGACCACCTCCACCACCACCACCACCACCACCACCATCGCCTCCAGAAGGTCCACCACCACCACCACCACCACCACCGCCCGGAGGTCCACCCGGAGGAGGAGGAGGAGGAGGAGGAGGAGGAGGAGGAGGAGGAGGTCCGCCCGGAGGAGGATTACCACCACCACCACCACCACCACCACCGCCCGGAGGAGGATTACCACCACCACCACCACCACCACCGCCGCGCGGAGGAGGATTACCACCACCATCACCGCCCGGAGGAGGATTGCCACCACCACCACCACCACCACCACCACCTCCAGCAGCAGCCGCGAGTGCGTCAGCAGCTCTCTTGGCTGCTATCCCGGCAGGTGTCCAGATTACTCCCTGTGCAAAGTTTGCGTCAGCAACCCCTACACCCAGAGGATACTTCCTCAGGTATTTGGGGTCTAAGTCGTCGATAGCATCCTGCTGTCTATCGCGACGTCTAACAAGAGTCTGGATTAGCCTTTGATTACTGGCATCAGTTCTGAGCAAATATACCCTCAGTCCTTTAGCATTTATGCGGTGATTTCCCTCCTCGTAATCAGAGTCCTCTGCTGGAATATCGATCATGGTGTAATCGTCTTCCTCGATATGAGGGAATGCTCGTGTCAGCGGCGGTGTTTCAGCACCACCCAAATTAGCACCCGCACCCGCTCTGTGGAGGACCGCCAGTATCCCCCGAGGCCTGCCAACGCTATTCTTCAACCAACCCTCGACCTCTTCCGAATCAGTGATCTGCACCTCCATCGGCCGAACAGGAGGATTGGATGCCGGTGGAACGTTATCGAGTGCTCTCCAGATACTCCTGATTGCTCTGTCGGGTGGGGTGTGCTTCAGGATCAAATTGCAGAGCTCTGGAAACGTTATCTTGGTCAGAACTCCAATGAACGAATTCTGATTTCGTCGATGGTTCCAGTCATAGATAGGGGGCGGGGCAACCCTGGAGAATGCTCCTAGAGCATCCGGGTCTACCACCGTAACCATTATGGAAGGTCTATCGAGATCTGCAGACACTGGGTCCCGTTTACGCTTCTTAGAGCGTTGGGCGGGCAGACCACCGTCCTCATCATCATCGCTATCGTCAGCAACTTCTTTATACTCGCGATTTCCCTGCCCCCTTGATAGCTTTTCCTTCTGCCCAACATCAGCGATGAGCCACTTCAAAGCGTCCGCGAGTGCTCTGTGGGTTGCGGAATCGCCTCCGTTCCACATAGGCAGGAAACCACTGAGAGGGCGTATGTTCAACACATGGAGGCATAGAGCATTGAACGCTGCTGCTCCGGAAACGGTTTTGTTGACCCAACCGGTGTTCTGCATCTCCGCTTTGAGGCTGTTGCGGATGTTAGTGTACGATTTAGGGAGGTTGATCAAACCTAAAGCCATCTTTGCTGTATTTGCCTGAGTCATTTTCCCGGTGTATCGGGCTTGAGAGATTGGGGATGATGCTTCTGGAGCACTGGGGTATGCTTCTGGAGGACTGGCGTATGCTACCTGAGCACGTGGGGGAGTTTCTGGGGCACAAGGGGGAGTTTCTGGGGCACGATCTCTGCTGCTTTGCCTCTGCTCTGCCGGTAGAGGGGAACTAGGTATTGGTAGCCGACGGCGACGTCGGGATTGAGAGCTCTGTGAAGCACTGGCGACTGCTTCTGGAGCAGGGGTATGAACTGGGAGTACGGTTCTACGGACAGGGGCAGATGGTTGTGGCGGCGAGCTGCCCAATTCTGGGGAAGTGCTGGAGACTCGTTGAAGTGCTCGTCCTCTTTGGAGTCTTGGGCCTGCTGCTGGGCCTGCTGCTGTCCCTGCTGCTGGTCACTTTGCGGAGTGTGTTGCTGGGCCTGCTGGGCCTGCTGCTGTGCGTGCTGCGGAACCTTCGCTGTCGGACTCGACTTCAGATTGCACTGATTCCCACTCTTTTGGGAAGAGTCTCGAGTGCCGAGTGGGCGGTGACGAGTGCTGAAGAGACGGTGACGAGTGCTGAGGGGGCGGTGACGAGTGCTGTCGGGAGCTTGAAACCACTCGGGGATGCTTCCGGGAAGAGGATGACTGCGGCGGGGGTGTCTCTTCTATCTCTTCTGGGATAGGCTGGAGGCTTTTCATCTCTTTGCGAGACGAGGAAGGGGAGGACTTCTCGTTCTTCTTCTGCTCCTTCTTCTTCTCCTTCTTCTTCTCCTTCTTCTCCTTCTTCTTTTCCTTCTTCTTCTCCTTCCTTTCCTTCCTTCGGCGTTTTTTGCTATCTGATTCGTCGGTGTCTGGATTGCGATCTCGCTTCTTCTGTGAGCGCTCTGGAGTGCCCTGAGGGGAGGATGAAGGCTATAGTGAATATGTGATGAGTATGGTTCTGAAAGCAATAGGATTAAGGAGGATATACCATCTTATATATGATCGCTAGGTGTGCAGCTTGAAAGCTTGAACTTGAAACGAAACTTGAAACTTCAAGTTGAAGCCTAAACTTGAAACGTGAGCTGAATGCGCTTTCAAGAGGTATCTTGAGAGCTTAGATAGCAGGGAGGGGCTTGAAGTGATAGGTAGCGCTGGAAGATGGTTAGGAAGCTCTCACGATCTGGAAGGAGGAGAAGGGTGCTCTTACACCGAATACAATCAGCTATTCCAGGGCTCATCATGCTTCCGAGAGCACCCCCGTGTGCTATACGAGCATCCTCCGGATCCTCGGGTGCTGTACGAGCACCTCCGGGCGCTCCCACCAGTGCTGCATATGGTGCTCCAAGCCATGCTGAATGTTTGCTCCAATACATGACGTAGATCAATGCTCTAGGCGCACTCGAAGATTCTACTCTGGAGGTTTGATTCAATTGAATGACGTAGATGAATGCTCTAGGCGTACTCGGGAATGCTCTGACGGTAGTATCAACAGTGGTGTCGATTGGATTCCTATGTTGGGTTGGTGTTTGTGTTCTTGTTGGTGTCGGGCTCTGTGCGCTATGAAGCTGAGTCGGAGAGTGTGTATCCTCTGAGCGCATATCCGATATTAGTATCGAATTTGGCAGTGAGAATGGTCTCTCCATGATCTGAATAGCATCCGCGAGTGCTCAGAGAGAGAGAGCGAATGCTGAGAGGGTAGAACGGAGCATCGTTGGCGGCATGATTGTGGTGATTGTTGTTTCTTCTCGTTGTATGCTTGTGTTTGTGTTTGCATTATTCCGTTGGAGATGTATGACGTCAAAATCAGCCTCGATATGGTGGAGGTGCGAGCGCAAGGCTCACAATCACTTGGCGAGCGCTCTGCAGCGAGCACTCTGTAGAGCACTCTGCACAACCGCTTGGCGGCGAGAGCCTCATTGGATGACAAATCGTTCGTAGAGCACTCTGCACCGCCTGCAGGAAAGAGCCTCCGCCTTGGCAGACTGCAAATTCTCGAGTCCAATGAAATCGTCTTGCCCTTTTTGCAGCAAGAGGTACAGCTCCTCCGCGAATTTTGACAGACATCTTCGAACGATCCATCCTTTGGAAGCAGATGAATGGCTGGGAAATCAATATTCACTGCTGGAGCACGATCAACCTGCAGAGACCCCCGACAACACTGACGAGAGCCCAGAGTGCATTCCCGATTACTATTCAGACACGCATTACGATTCAGAGTCGGACATTTTCGACCAAGATTCGGGTAACAATTCGGACCTTGAATCCGAATCATATTTCGTGATGGAAGAGGCAGATGGCGATTCAAATGGGCATAGTAGGGCATCTACGACAGTTTACGAGGGTGCTGGGGAGCCACTTTACCGCTCGGAGGACCACGACGAGTGCTCACAGAGCCTTCTCCAATACCCATGGCACCCATTCCGGTCAGCATACGAGTTCAGAATGGCACGCTATTTCACACTGTCCAAAGCCTCACAGGGGAACATCGACAGCTTCTTTCTACACGCTCCGCCGAGTAGTGGCGAGTGCTCCTACAGCACTGGGCGGGGTTTTATCAAGAAGTTGGAGGAAATGAACGATATACTGGGAAAGGCGAGCTGGAATCATTCGGAGGTGGATATTGGGGGGGAGAAGATCTCTTACTACTACCGGGATCCAATGGTAGTCGTCCGATATCTTCTAGGGCAACGTGCCTTCCGGGAGTCATTGGTGTATTCGCCCGTGGTGGAGCATAATGAATTCGGCGAGCGAATGTACGGGGAAATGCATACGGGAGATTGGTGGTGGGAGATACAGGTCCGTAAACTTCACCCTGTCAACTTGAGGTGCTCTATGAGCTGTCGATGATGCTACAGGAGCAGTCGCTAATGTTTTCTCGACAGAATACGTTACCGGAGGGGTCCACTGTCGTACCAATTATCTGCGCGTCGGATGGAACACATCTGACAAATTTCAGCGGGGACAAGAAAGCCTGGCCAATCTATCTTACCATCGGGAACATCAAGTCGTCGGTGCGCAACAAGCCTACAGGGCATTCATTCATTCTCCTAGGGCTGCTACCAGTGCCACCGAAGCTCGGAAAGAATACAACACTCGTTAACTCCGTTTTAAGACGTCAGAGTCAAATGGCACTGCATCGTGCCCTTGGGGAGATCTTTCAAAGCATTCGCGAGTGCTCTCAGGAGGGCGAGCTAATCAAATGCGCCGACGGCTACGAACGACTATGCTTTCCGGTGCTCTCGGGCTGGATCGCTGATCAACCCGAGCATTCAAACTTGCAAAACATTAGCACTAGTGCTTGCCCGAGATGCGAGGTGGAGTTTCACAATCTTGGGAGCACTCGTCGAAGCTCTATGCGCAATCACAAGGACTACAGGGAGAGGGTACAGCTATTTGGCGAGAACCCGGGCAATCTAGAACCGGTAGAATACCTTATTGCGAGATCCGTCAAAACACTCTTCAATGCTTTCTGGGGTATGCCGAGGGTTAATCCGTACGATCTCAATAAACCGGACATACTGCACAATATTTACCTAGGGATGTTGAAGCACATGATGGAGTGGATTCAGGGTTTCTTGAAGAAGCATCATCGATTGGAGGAATTCGACAAAGCTTGGGCTTCGATTGCGCCTTACCCTGGACTAGCAGTACCAAACAAGGCATATCGTTCTACCACCCAATGGCAAGGGAAAGAGATGCGGAATCTGGGGCGGGTCATTCTAGAAGCACTCGCGGCTGCTCTGAGAAACCCGGGAGTGGCTGTCAGGAGCGACTTCGCAAAAGCTTTGAAATGCGTTCGAAGCCTAATAGACTTACACTTAATGGCGCAATATGGGAGTCATACAACGAGCACACTGGACTATATGGAGAGCTATCTCGAGGATTTCTATAAATACAAGGATATCTTTTTAGACTTCAGGGCGTACAAGAAGACGTTAAAGGATGCGAGAAATCGAACGAAAGCAATTAGTGGCTCCCAGAGCACCCAGCGAGGCTTGGAGGAGATCCGGGAGATTCGGGAAAGATCGCACTTCAACTTCATCAAATTGCACGTCTTAATGCACTACCGGTAGCACGTTGAGCGCTTTGGTAGCATTCCTCAATACTCCACGGATGTCAGCGAGCTTGCCCATGTACGGCAGGTAAAAGAAGCTTACAGAGCGTCCAACAAGGTTGATGCTGCGACGCAGATACTGGACTATGGAGGGAGACGATTGGCGTTAGAGATTCGAATTCTGAATCTGAAAGACATCGTCGGAGGTTCTGAGAGCACTGACGATATCCTCTGGAGCCATCGGGATAACCTCAAGGAGTTGCTCGACATTTTCAAGATCGAGGACCGCAAGAAAACGCCAAATGAACGCTCAATAGTAGAAAGCGGACTGCCCCTGAAGCGTCTTTGCAACCCCTCCGCGAAATCGGAAAGACTTTTCAACGTGGCAGACGGACTGCAAATGAGCCATATCACGCTATATCGCCTGATAAAGGAGTATGCCAAGGATACGGGATGCTCTCAGAGCTTTGCCGGAAGCTCTGAGAGCATGTTGGAGCGCCGGGTGGAGGTTTTCACATGCTTGCAGGTTCCGATACCAATCTTCCAAAGGCCTGACGTATACGAGGTTCACAACATCAGGTGTACGGGAACAGCATCTTTTAGGAAGGGGAAAATAAGAAAGGATTGGGCATGGGTATCGGTAGGTTCCTCAGAGCAGTGGGGAGTGTTTCGGGGACGCTTACCAGGACGTGTGGAGGCTCTGTTCAAGGTGCGGGATAGCACAGGGCACGCACATAGACTATGTGTAGTTGAGCTGCTTGAGGCGAAGGATCGTGGCATCGCTGATAGCTCACATGGGCTGCTGAAGGTCTGTAGGAGGAGGAGGAAGAGGATGTGGGTCGTGAATATTCGGAGTATGTTAGGAATGGCCCATTTGTTCGAGGTGGATGCTGGCAATTGGCTGGTAAATACTAGGATACATTTGCGTACGTGGAATGAATTCAGTTGAATGCTGTAAAGCATTCCCGAGTGCTATGCAGTGATATGGGAGGATTACCGAGTGCTATGCAGTGATGTGAGAGGATCACCGAGTGCTATCCAGTGATGTGAGAGGCTTACTGGGTGCTATCCAGTGAGAGCATTACCGAGTGCTATCCAGTGATATGAGAAGCTTACCGGGTGCTATCCAGTGAGAGCATTACCGAGTGCTATCCAGTGATTTGAGAGGATTACCGAGTGCTATGCAGTGATATGAGAGGATTACCGAGTGCTATCTAGTGATGTGAGCGGATTACCGAGTGCTATCCAGTGATATGAGAGGAATACCGACTGCTATCCAGTGATATGAGAGAAATACCGGGTGCTATTCAGTGAATGCTCTGAGGGCAGTGGTGAGTGCTCTACGAGTGGAATGTTAGACCCAATAGGACCGTCTAATTCAAAATTCGTGTCGTTCTGCTAGTACGCATGCGGATTGGAAGAGGGAGGTGAGTATCGGCCGCTCAGTATCTGAGTCTGACTATCCAGCAAGCCAGCTCCAGGAGGGCGCGGTAGGCAGGCATTGGTCTTCCGACCAGTAAAGTCATCCTGCACCTTTTTCCAGTCCATGTTTGCTGCTTATGCATGGATATTGAGCTTTTCAGACGAGTAGTACCATGGCCTCAACCTCAAGGCTTATGCCTTTCACGAATCGACAGATACATATACGTTCGTCAAAGGTTTGGTAGCCATCTCCAGTATACATGACAGTGCCCGTATCAGTATTCCGCAACTGACCGTTCAGCGGCGTGAAGAATACCCAAGTGAGATATCGTTTGAGAGACCGGCGATGCCTACCTTGCCTTTGAAGAAAGCGTATCGATTCATATGGGTCTAAGTGGGGGGTGTCCCACCTTGAATAGTATTATTAAAGATGTTTCCGCAGCTCTACGAGCATTGGTCAGTGCTATGGAAGCATTCGTGGTGCTCTCCGGACGTGAGCAATATCTCTTGGCAGTGCCTGGAAAAACTCGTTGTGATTTGATCTCCTGGTGCAGATATTACTGACGAGTGCTGTCAGCGCGCTGACGCTGTCTCCTGGCGGGCCCCGAGATGTCCGTGATTCGTTGCCAGTCCCTGGGCGGAAACTCATTAGTTGATCATTCTCCAGACGCAGGAGGCATACCCAGGCGTGTCATGGCGGAGAGAGCATCACCGGGTGCTCTCAGGACGAGCACCATATCGCCTGGAGGTGCATCCCGCGTGAAAGTGCACGACGCGCCTAGAGAAGATTGCGGAGAGAGCATTGCTGGGTGCTCTATGGATGTAGGTGATATGGCTCAGAGTACTCTGTAGACAGTGGCATTAGCGAGTGCAAAGAAGCTCATTAGGGAGTGCGAATATGCTGCTCTGACAGCGGACTGCTTGGAGCGAGTACTCTGCTTGGATCGAGTGCTCTGCTGGAGCGAGTGCTCGAGTTGCAGTCGTGAAAAGCTCTCTTCTCTGACGTCGTCAGATGATTGGCACTGCGCTCTGGCGGAGTGTATAGACGATTATGCACCCTGGTGCTGCCAGACAGAGAACATACTGCTCTGGGGGCATCGGGCTCGGATGCTAGCATCGCCTGGCGCGAGCACCCTGCTGTTGCGACGCCTGGTGCGAGCACCCTGCTGTGGCGACGCCTGGCGTGCCTGGCGCCCAGGGCGTAGGCACTGCGCCCTGAGGAATAGCAGAGTTTGCTGATGTGCTTGTAGTTAGGCAGCCTCAAGTGGGGTGATGTTCTGTTGGTAGGGCAGGGAGGCCACTGTGAAGGCGAATTCACCTATTTAGGAGAGAGTTATACCTAGGGATGGGTCGATGTTAATAGGGGGAACGTAGATGCAGAAAGGGATTGAGGAGATAGGGGAGCCCTGTAACGGCGTAGTACGAGTAAGGAAGAAGTTCAGGAAGGAGAGTGATTAGTAATCGGGATTTCATTTGTCATTTCTCTTTTGGGCTTTCGGTCACGTTTGGGTTTTTCTTTTTATGGTTTACATTATGCGAATTGGTTATCCGCTTCTGGAGGATATATGTATGGCTGTATTTTCCTTTTGTCCTCTCTTTCTGTTCTCGTTATCCGAACTTCTTGTTATATAGGAATATATTCTATTTTCTGTCTTCGAAACCCTATGAACTCAAGTCACGTAACCTAGTGGTTGGGCGCCTTGGTCCCTGTCCTAGTCCTCGCTCTCGCTTCGCGTAATGTGAAGCGTTTGATCCTGTTACTCTTTGTTTCCTTCGATATTCTATCATTAGGAAACTTTGTCTAGTACCTATCGGCATCAAGACAGATAATCCCAAACCCTGACCCTGACTCCACACGAGGCAAACGTTTTCACCTACGTGACTCTGACTCAGTTTCTACTGTTCTCTTACCGAACACTCTCGAACCCTGTTCTAGTTTCTCCGAGTCGGCCCGTAACAAGCCCTGAGGTACCCCTACTGCCACCGGCAAGGACGCCTTAGGGGATCCTGGGAAGAGGAGGGTGCATTTGCTGTCGGAGAGGAAGGAGAGGACCCATTGGATCATGTATGGGGGGGTATTTTTGCTGCGGAGGGTGTCTGCCAGGATGGATAGGACGATATGGTCGAAGCCTCCTTTGACGTCTAGGAAGAGGGAGGAGACTTTCAGGCCTGCTCTTCGGAGGAGTCTGGTTTCGTGAATGAGGGTGGTGGCGGCATCTGCCGTTGAGAGGCCTTTGATGGATCCGCATTGGTGGAGGTGTATGAGGCGTGAGGTGGAAGTGTGTGTAATGAGTACTGTCGCATAAATTGAATGGGTGCCGCAAAATCCTACCCTTCCATTGATTAGTTGCCGCTGAGCCTCATCGAGAGCTTGACTTTTGATCGCCTTGGCCAACGAGAATAGGAAATTTCAGTGCACTTCGATTCGTTATTCCCGAAGTTCTGCGGTAGTGCACGTGGAATGATTAATTAATTTGAGTACGAGAGGGTATTTCTGTGTTTGAACTAGAGTACTTGCTGTGAGAATAAGTTTCCACCAGCACTTTTGTATTGCAACCGCATTTCAAGTACACACTTGTTGGAAACTTATTCTTGCCGCAAGTAGGTGTTTAGTGGAAATATTTGATTGACTTTGAGATCGGCACCAGTCAGACGGTAATTACCGGAATATGGGACTGGCTCCATTCGCTAAAAGTCTCTTTTCTGGTAACTTTAGCGAAAGTTATCGTATTCGTTGCGCACAATATCCTCCAATTACATATATAAGTTATCCCTTAAGCTGTCGCGAAAATGCTGACCCACCAAAAAGAAGCAAATTTGGTGTGGCATTACTAATAGATCTCGTTATCTCTCTTATCAAATAATAGATCTCCCATACAAATCTAATTCCTCTGTTATGGGGGGTCAGCATCGACAGCTTAAGGAATAGCTAGATGTCTCTCATTACGAAACATCTCTACAAACTCGATCATAAGACCCTACTGCCTCCAAGCCTCACTAGTTGAATGAAGATCATTAAAATGTGACGTATCATTAAATATATCCAGGGCTTACAGCCCAGCTTTCGATGTCACTACATGTCAATTCGTGCGGAAGACAACCAAATTAGCCGGTATGTAGTAGATATCGCGAAGTCGTCGTATCTAGCGACAGTTTTCATTTAGATCCAGTTCATGAGTAAAATCTTTGAAATTGACATCCTTCGCTCGATAATATTGACGAATTTCATATGTTTTGATTATCCCGAAATTCGCACTGAGTTATCATTACGCTAGCAAGTAAAACTGGTTAGTGGCAACAGGGCATCCAGCGCCATACCTATCTCAACTCGAGTGGCTACTATTAGTGTATACAAGTGGTTTCCGGCCTTCGGCCGGTTAGGACAATGAAATCAGCTAGTCTCGTCCAAATGTGACAGGTCGTCTTGGAAATGTGATATATTGACAGAAAGTGATATATTACATGTACGCTAGGCTGACTGAGGACTAGCGTGCAGCATTGCTGGGTGAGGATCCCCAACTCCACCGCCACCTCTACCTCTACCTCTAGCTCTACCTCCACCTCTACCTCTACCTCTACCCTTACCCCTACCTCCACCTCCGCCCCTCCTACCTGCCTCCATATTGACACCTATGCTAATGTCTATATAGACTCCTAATTCGACACCTAATTCACGCCCAAATCGACGCCCAAATCGACGCCTAGGAGGCATCAAACCGAGCACTGCACCGAGCACCGCACCTAGCACCGCACCGAGCACCGCACCGAGCACCGTTTCGAGCACCTTTTCGAGCACCGTTTCGAGCACCGCACCGAGCACCGTTTCGAGCACCTTTTCGAGCACCGTTTCGAGCACCGTTTCGAGCACCTTTTCGAGCACCGTTTCGAGCACCGTTTCGAGCACCTTTTCGAGCACCGTTTCGAGCACCGTTTCGAGCACCGTATCGACCACTGGCGCAGGCGTAAGTAGAGGTACAGGCGCAGGCAGGAACCAGGCGCTGGGTGGTAGGCGCGGTGTTACAGGAAATACGAGTACTGTTCTCAGTCGAGGAAATAGGAAGAATACGAGTAATGGGTTGTGATGCGGGTACGGCCGGGTAGCGGAAGAACAAGCATAGAAAGGAACCGAGGGGTGTGGGAGCACCGGGTGCAACCACACGAGTATTAGGCTATTGTGAGGACACGCTTACTATTGGGTGTCTCACCCGAAACGGAATAGAAGCGGGGTTCATGGCTGCAGGCCATTCTACTTAAGGAAGTAGCTCTAGGACAATAGTATGATACAGCTCGGTTACTGGCAATTGCGGGGTTCATGGTTACTTGTTAAGATTAGAATGGAGGAACGGAACTATGCGGGGGCGCTTTTCTATCGGGGTTATCTTCGGGTTGATTGTCTTATTCTATTATCGTGGTATTAGTAGTATTAGAAAGCGGGCCTTGGCATAGGTTCCAATATGTATAAATAGGGAAGGATTCTGCCTCGTCTTAGTGGCATCATCAGTCAATCAGCGAGCGGAATCCGGTTTA